GACATTTAACACACATCCTCTGAAATCGCAAGTCATACAATTTCTTAATATACGGTTTTATGTTTCGTACGTATACATTTTTTTAAAACGTGGTTGATTTTCATGATTTTCTTGTACAGTCTTTACCTTTGTCGTCTTTCACCATCATTAATTCCAATTACCGACATCTCTATGTAATGCCAACGGTGCTGGGTCTTCTGCTTGCCGGTTAGGGGGAAAACGGGATGATCGAACGTCTCCCTCACTCCGCCAACCTCAACGGACGCGTGGAGTGGTGGACGTCGTGCTGATCGATTGTCCTCCATCGGAGGCGGTGTAGATTCCTAGAAATGTAGGAAAAGATCTAATTTATTTTGTTGCCACCGCCCACTCTAGTACACCCTCGTTTAGTTCTGGAACAAAATTTTTATCAACAGTTTCGAAATATTAAAAATGGATTTATTGTTAAAATAGTTATATGGATGGGTATTCGATTATTATCTTCATTTGCTTTGTACAATGCAAAAGGGCAATAATTTAAAATGAACTACAACGTACTGGCCAGATTCTGTTCTGTAAGGAATCAGGGTTGACGTTCGATCACAGTCCTTGATGGGTTTGCCAAGGTCCTGTAGCGAAATTCCGGCGGTATTGTCTGCTTCAGTTTTGGTGTTCGGCGGAAATTTTTGGAAACTAAGTTGAAATTATTGTTTTCCGCGCCGCGCCTCTACTTTTTGTGGAGAGTAATTTGGATCTTCTCAGCATATGTCGGGATTTACCCTGCGTACAGCGCTTGGAGACAGTTTCGTGGTTCCGATTGGAAAGTTGAATGAAAATTTGAACTAAGGACTTGGAATACGATAATATCAAATGAAACTGGACAAAATCAGTGCCTGTTGATGAATTAAGATAAATTAAGATTTTCGTTAATTTCTATCATCAATTAAAAAATCCATTAGTTGGATAAAAAAATAATAGTTTTTAATCACATGACTAGGCATGATATTTAAGAATATTATATGATAAAAAAATTACATCCGTAATCTGATCTCATCGAAGTACCTAAGTTGTACGTATCTTCATGTGTTTATTAAAAATATATAAAACGAAATTCCGCGACGCCGTCATCAGTTATGTAAAAAAATTATCGAGTATCACTATACGTGACTGGGTTCTTGTAAATGATAAAACTTAACGTTTTCCTAGAAATGTTACATTTATCAGTATTATCATCAGTAATTCCGCATTTATGTCGGTTTATTACAAATTTTGCTCTAACTAATCTCGATTGTGTGACCTAAGCTCCGTTCATTTTATAATTTCTAGTAATAAATTATATTAAATCAGTCATTTTTCTTATCAAACATATTAAATATTTAGTCACATTTTTTTTTTATTAAATTTAACACGAAGAACATGGTTCGGCACAGTGTTCAACTAGCTATTTAAAAACTGTATACACGCAGTTTTGGGGCCTTTCTTTTTTAGATAAGAGTACTCGATTTAGGATTGCGTTTTTTTTTAATATTTTTGGTTCCAGTTTAAAAAAATCCACCAATTTAATATGTTTCTACTAAATGGCATTAAAAAAAGTACCGTCTGGAATTAACGTTTATCAGTATCAGACTATTTTTATGTGTGTTATTTATAACTAAACGTCAAACTGGACGGGCTGATATTTTTAATAATAAGTTAATTAATGATTTGAGATATTATTCCTAATTGACAAGGTTCATTTTCATCCTTGATAGAGAAGGATGAGCTGGATAAGTTAGGTCATACGAATGTATAACGAAAAAAAAATTATCACGAAAATCAAAGTCCGTTAGATAGATTTACATAGAATCAATTTTAATTATGTTTACTAAAACTGATTTTGAAAAAGAAATTGGGATGCACTGGGGAATTTTAATCTTATCTATAAAGGAAACTGTTTTTGCAAACACAATATTTTTTAAGCAAGCCGTTGCTGTTGAAGTTGTTAGTGATATTCGAGGATTCGTAGAAGTTGTAATTTTTATTATTTTGGATGAATAGTTAATAAGATAATATTAGTTTATAATGTTGAAAATACCTTAAGTTCACAAATAATATGTTTACTTTGGCGCCAAATTAATAGTGCTGTTGTTATCTTCTGCCACATTACTCTGGTTTTCATTTCTATTAGTTATTCCTATTTTTTATATTTTCAATCATCTTAATCAAATTAGCAGAAGAAACATGACATAGCAAAAGTGTATTTCTTCATTACAATTGTCGTCAGGCAGAATCTCATGATTAAAAGACGATAATGAGTTAATTTAAAATTACTATTATTTTTAAAGCTTTTTCCCTCATTAAATTTTAGTATTAACCTTATATTTATCATCACAAGAAATGAGATAAATTTGGTAATACGCATGCAAATTATCAAAAATAGAAATTGCTCTTTTACGTTATTTTTAAAAATGTTCGGATGATGAAAGCTGCAGCCAAATTTAAATACCCAAGGTTTTCCTTCTTTCTGTCACTACAAAATTCTGTTGGTTTTCGAAAAGCATTTATTATAAATACATAGAATTGATGATGTTTTATGTTTTATCAGTCAGTGTCTTAGATTATACTAGTGGAATTTTAAATAATAATAAAACCATAAACATTATATATTTAAGGTCAAAGACATTTTGCATATTCTCATTACGGTTCTTCGCCATTTCAAAGAAGTTTTATTCTCTAGTAACTAATAGTGACATATAATTCCTTTTCCTCGTTTTATTTTAGTAAGTTTAGACTAAAATGCAGTATCATACGAACCGAACATTTCAAGACCGAACACACTGTACAGGGTGTCTTTAAAAAAGTCTGTACAAAACGCTAGAGCTTGATATAGGCCTTAGTAACACCCTGTACAGCACTACGCTTCCTTCGGCTTCCACAAATTACAATCTTTTAATATAAAATTTCATAAGAAACTTTATTATCAAAGCCAATTAAAATAATTTTTCATATCTATACAAGTTAGGTCAAAATGGTGCAGATAAAAGTATATTAAGCATTTTATGATAACAATTCATTATTCTTTTTTTAAAGCTAGAATTCGCCCGTACATAAAAATGTTTGTCTAACTATATAATACACGTCCATTAACTACTACTATTACTACTTTTTTACTTTCTTATTATATCCTGTATATCAGTAACATTTTTCATTATTCAAAAAAAAAAATACACATATGGTATATAATGTGTGGTTAAAACACATTTCGTATTTATGTATTTTCTGAGCAACAATGTATGACTATTCAGATTAAAAGCAATTATTCACAACGGAAATTTCGTAGAAAAGACGTTATAAAATGTAAATTAAAACAAACAAAGCATCACAATTCACTTCATCTATCACTGAATTTGTTTAATGATACAATTATTATTCTTATTCTAATACAATTATTATTCTTATTATAATTCTTATTATACATATTTTAAATTGCATATTATAAAGAAAGTTTCAACAAAAGGTAATAAAACTTTAATTACGTTAATAAAATAAAGCAATATTTACAGACTATTTAAATGTTGTGGCACCTTCTTAATAATTCGCAAACTAAATCATTTAACTAATACACGTTAGTAAAAAGTATTTTTAATTATTACGGTTGGAATTACCCTTTTTCTAGAAATTTGCTGACGTTATAGCGAAGTTATAAGTTTGTTCTAAAGTGTTTCGTCTAACTTTTGTTCTTGTAATTCGCGAAAACTGTTTATTTGTATTAACGAGGCCAAATTTCAATTCCCCGTACCCGATTTACTAGGACTGTCGCCGAAAAGTAATTATTTGTTTAAACCCATGAGACAGGATTTTAACTATAATTCATTTTCCCGGTAAACTGTAGAACGCAGAGAAAAACTGAGCCCACTTTAATATTTAGATTTGGAAGTTTTCCCAATTTTTTTCATAAAAAAACTTTTTTCTAGGAAAAATCTGGAAACTACAAACAACTAGACTGTTTTGATCCTTGCAAATTCATTTCCGATATTCGTTTGTTGCTAAACCTTGAGAACAAAAAGATACGTGATTTTTTTCGATTTTTTTTATTAGATGTAATAAAAGGCCACATTTGAATTTCTCGTACCCGATTTACTAGCGTTGATGGTCTCAAAAATTAATTGCATATTATTAATAACGGTATAATGATACAGGATTTTTTGTAAAATGTAAATTAAAACAAACCCAGCATTACAGTTCACTTCATCTACCACTGAATTTGATATTATATATAGATATAAATATAAAGAATGTTTCAACAAAAGGTAATACAATTTTAGTTAAATAAATATTATAAAGCAATATTTACGGACTATTTAAATGATATGACATTCTTAATAATTCGCAAACTAAATCATTTAACTAAAATTATATCAAAAAATCCTAGAATTAAAACTAAATGATGTAATTTCCGCAAGCGTTTTCAGCGTGTTTGAATACGTACGATAAAATGTTTTTGTCTAGACTTTGGGCACTTAATAATTTGACAAACTTTTCGAAATTTTTTTTATAAAATATTTTAAGTAAAAAATCTGTTTTAAGTGGTCAAACTGAGCAAAACTAATTGTTAAACTGTTACCCTGTGCAATTAAAATATGTGTTTTCTGGCTGAGGCCTTGTTTTTAAATTTAAACGCTATGCGAACTCGTAAATAATTCAGCAAAGTGAGTAGTGAAATATGCGAAATCACCAGAAGTAAAGGGAACAAATAAATAGCACATTTCCTAAGAATCAAAAATGACTCCTGGTTGGTGCAATGATACAGCAGCTTGGCGGGTGATAGTAAGTGAAGCTCGTAGATAATTTTTTATTAATCAGTAAATATTTTTTTGGTACGCGAGCAACGAGCACGTGGTCACAGATGATGGCGTGCTTTAGAAATAGTGAAATGTATTATACCTCATTATCTAATTTTGAATACTCCATTTCCAATAGGGGTTCAAGGTTCAAACGTATCATTCGTTACAGAAATGTCAAGAAAAAGAGTGGGGAATAAAGTTTATGTTTTAAGTCTGCACTTTCCAGGATCAATCGAAAGCAATTTGTAAACAAGCAAGTGTGTGTTTTTAAAAAATAGCGGCGATTCAAAATGAAATACCGGAATCTGTGTTTAGTGCTCGTCGCATTGGCGATTGATGGTGTTTTCGCTGACATGTCGGATGTGCGGTCCGTATTTAGTTCGTTTTTTTCGCACGACCAAGTCCAAGCACCGGTTGAAAATAGTGTCGATGAAACACCCCAGACTCACCCTCAGGTGGCGGGTTTTCCAGTGACTGAAACTGAGTTTACGAAAATTCGTATAGAATACATCAAAAACCAAATTTTAAAAAAACTCAGGCTCAAGGAGAAACCTACCGTGGCGGTTGGAAAGCTTCCTAAACCTGTTAAGGAGTACGAAAATTTCTTACCGGATCAAGACATAAACCTCCAAAGCAGTTACTCAGACGACTTTTACGGGAAAACCACCCAGGCTATTATCTTCCCCTATGAAGGTAAATTAAGTTGTTAAAATTAATTTAATTTGTCGAATCCACATACCTAAAATTACCAAAGGATTATCTACCACGCTTCTCTTCATTGCGATCACAATAAATCATTTAACTAACTAGTTTATCGTAATAATTGATACGCACTTAATTAAATGTATTTATTGAAAAATTTTCTTTATAGGGGACTGAGGCTTAAAAAGAAAGTAACCCTTGGAGTTTTAAAATAACGACTACCTTAGATAGCGCTTTACTGGTGCAATAGTTTAAACATTATTGACATGTAGACAATACCAAAATAAATTATTTAAAAAATCACGATAGTTTTAGTTAACTAGACCTTAAAAATACTTATCCAGGAAATACACACTTATTTACTATTTCCATGTTTATGTTATGCATTATCTCGCGAGTAACAAAATAAATGCAGCAAAATTGTTAAGTCATGCATATAAGTAAGCCATTTGAAATAATAAAGTCAGTAAAATCTTTTTGATAAATATGGCACTGGCCTTATTGAAACCAAAGCATAAATTTAGGACAAAAATTAAATATAAACAAAAAAAACTGGCTTTTAATCGAGTTTGCTTCGAAAGTTGTATTAATTTTTGGGTTCCAGACGAGGCGAAATGTTTGAGAAAAGTCAGGTTTCCCTCTGCCTGCCTTCCTTTTCAAATGCCGACCGATATTCACACTTCGGATGTTAGTACTGCGGAATTGTGGTTTCACAAGAAAAGGGACAGTATGGATTCCCACAATCAAACTTTCGTCATATCGGAAGTCGCCCACTGGGACAGCAATAAAAGCTTTCAGAAAACCAAACCCATTGCCATTCAAGAAACCAGTATGACAGGTACGAATGCCTTACTTTCCACATATATGCGTTGTATTATGGTATCAAACTGAGGCAGGGAATTAGTTTTCCATGAACTGGTGCACTGCCAAAAACACATGACTGATCTGATAGAAATGAACATATGTCAATTTAGGTCTTTAGAGTATCTCATCTTCATTCTTAATGGTAGAGATCAAGGAGGTAATTGAGAGTATTTTTTCTAAAACAATAATAAAAAAAAGTCAGTAAATTGATGATGTAATCCTTTACATGTGTTGTTTAAGGTCCATTGTGTCTTTTGAGCTAATAAAAAAAATGTACCAGTAAAATTTGGAAGAAATCCGTATTATGTACGTATTTTTGACAGTGCATTTTGATCACCCTGTAACTCATGTTCATAGGGATTTTTTTGCTTTATGTCGTAGAAAGGTTTTTTCTTGCAATTAACCTGATTATATTATATATATANTATATATATATATATATATATATATATATATATATATATATATATATATATATATATATATATATATACATATATATATTATGTTTGCTGATTTTGTCAACTTGGGAAAATATTATTACAAACTCAAGACAAATATTTGGCATATTTGAAGGGGGTCCTATAATTTACTACTTTGCATGGTGGTAAACAATGTTTGAAGAATTGTTTATTTCTTATAACCAGTTTGAGCGAGATTACCAAAATTATTTAATTAGCTTGATTATTTACTATGAAATGAATTTTGCACAAACATTTTTAATTCTACACTAAAAACAATACTTTCGCATTCTTATTATTAATATTTGAATTATTTAAATCTTATCCTTAATTCTACACTAACCTCTGCACTTTTATCATCCAGTACCGTTTTCTCGGTGTAGGTATTTTACCGTTGCTTATTTGCTCATTTTTTTTTTCCAGAGGGCTGGTTGAAGGTCGACGTTACTTACGTAGTAAAAAACTGGTTGGCGTACCAAGATTCCCCAACGCACGCCGTCAACGTGGTCTGCAAAACATGCGGTATGTCAAAATCCCAGTCCCCAATATCGTTCGCGAGCGAACTAAAGCCTTTCCTGGTTATCTACACCCACTCTCAGCAAAGGAGGACCCTAACTCACAGGAGGCCGAAACGGTCGACGAACTGCGGTCCTGGCATCAACGAATGTTGCAGGGAGAGCCTTTACATTTCCTTCGCCGACATCGGCTGGGACGACTGGATCATCAAGCCCGAAGGGTACAACGCCTATTTCTGCAGGGGATCCTGTATGACCGCGTCCGCAATGACCCTCAGTGCTACGCAACATAACAGCATATTACAGGTATTTTTTATACTTTTATTCCTAATCTGAATTACGCCCTGCCTTATCTTTTAATTATAAATTCAGTTGGTAACCCGCAGAGATTTATTCTAGAATTATTTAAAATTGCGTCCGCTTATTTAATTATTTTTTTTTTGCAGAAGGTGATGTATGGGCAAAATAAGCACCGAGGATCCCGACCGGAGCTGACGCCCTGCTGCGCGGCGACGCAGTTCCAGCCCTTGCAGTTAGTTTACATGCACAGCAACAAAACTTTGACGACGAAACTTTTGTCTAACATGATCGTAGAGGCCTGCGGGTGCATGTGAATCGTATGAATTACGTAGGCGTGATAGTTTCTTGGCAGTATTTTGACTCTAGTGATATCCGGAGGTCCGAGAACGTTTCATTTCTGGACGTTCCGGGTTTAATTGTTGATATATTGTGATCCGTTAGGAGCTTCCGTTTTAGCGAAGGGCGCCTGCGGAAGAGATTGTAATTTGTAAACGGTGGTATACCCTTGCAGGAATTACATAAGTCCTACATTAAGTCGTTTACTTTTAGAATAGCGAAAGTGAAAGAGCGGTAATTTATTTTTATTTTATGTACGGGTATGTAATTTTTGAAAAATACTTAAAAACTTAGTCAATTATTAGGCGATGAAATTGTGAGTGATATTAGATTTTATAGGTAATGTTCGTATGTGTGTTTTTAATTTATTATTGTTTGTATTAAATATTTTCTACATATATTTATTTAATATAACATCAATACTTGCGGGTTTATTTTTATTTTAATTCAACCACAGCCTTATAATAAAAGTCAGAGACGTGTTTGTCGATGTTGAGGTTTATGCAACCAGTGATACTTCCAGTTAGGCATCATATACTAATTTAATAAGGTGATTAGGATATTATATAACAATTTGATAAATTTTCAAACTTGTGCGCCAAATTAATCCGACGAAGGTCGTTGAACGTCGTACGAATATAAACCGTCAAAAGTTTTGTACAATGCAATGTTGTTAATCGTAAGCAGCCGCCATTTTGTTAAATTTCACAATACACCAAGTCAAAATAATCAAGTAAGGTCATTGAACGAATATTAAAATGTGTAATTCTAATAACTGGCAATGAAATAAAATTCTATAAAATGGCGAATGCGCCGGTGATTTTTTTCCCCTATTGTACACATTTTTTACCTATATTGCGTGGTTTTCGCCCTAGTTAGACAAACATATGAGGTTGCCACTAACCTGAACAATATTTTTTAATTTAATTTCGACTCGATGACATTAGCACATATTCCTTTTTGTTAATATACGTATTTTGCTCACTAATACCCATTTTTTGCTCCAATTTTCAAGAATTTCAAAGGAAACTCAGTGTAAATTTAGAAAATTACATTATAATTATTTCACTGATATTTATGTTTCAAGATACAAACTGTTGAAATTGAAATAACTAAAGATATTGTCGTAGAATGCAGTACGCCTCTTCGAAATTCATCCATGTTTCGAAAATTTCCAGATTCTCGCTAAACCGAGTTACATTTTTCACAAAAAATGTCAAACCGAACTCAAAACCCCCATAGCCCACCCTGATGCAGTGAAGATCCTTAGGGATGCACAGCTTCTAAATCTACCATACATAGACCTCCTAAAGCTGCCATACACTAGCCATCCAAAGAGGCAAATGGATTCTAGTTCGTAAGGGAGTTCCACTAGTGCCCAGCACCAGATATACAGTTATAACAGAACACAAGAGTATTAAATTAAAAAACTTTTTTTTGGTGCTCTGTAACGACTAAACGAAGTAACTTAGGTTAGAGATAAGTTTAGTTAAACCTGCTTATTTTAATAGCAGGAAACTGTGGTAATATTGGGACACCATGTACTTTTTTAATTTTCAACACTGTATTTCAAAATTCAGGATTTTAGACTCGTGGTTCATTAAGCATTTCAAGATTTTATGAGAAGTATTTTTTTGAGTTCTAAGTTGAAATAACAAAAAAGATTTTATTAAAAACAAACATTTATTTCATTTTCTTTATTTTTTTTTACATTTTTGGGATGCTCGTAAATGGAAAATTAAAACTACTCGTATATCTACATGGGTCGCAGTCGTCACGAATAAACCTATTGGGAGCAGCTTTGCGGTAGCTCTATCTGTACAGTCTTACTTTCTTTCTTGTGGCTGAAATCCGGGCTGGCTCCCCTGTTTATTTGGTTTATCCACAACTGTGCTACGTTGCTCTTCTGCACGCAATGGACTGGTACGCTCTTCCTCACGGCACCGCGTTGCTGACTCCTGCTGTTGCAAACGGGCACTGGCCTGATGGTGAAGCACACCTCCCCGCCGTTTTCTACGTATCGAGTTTGGAATCGAGTGCCTTTAGACGAGCGTCCTGAGTCGCCCGAATGTTTTCCATGGCCAGCATCCTTTTCGGAAATGACGTTCACATACAATGGAACCTCTTTAGGGACGCATTGTTCTGTCCTTCCGGCGAATTGCTTCCTTTGCTGCTCACCTTCGCTACCTTCCAGTTCGAAGCTCTTGACGAATTCTTGGTAGTCGCGTGCGATGCAATTTTCCGACGTCATGAAGTCGCTTGCGGGATCGTCGTTGAAAGCGCCGCATAAGCCACGTACTGAGTCACGGAATTTACCGTTGACGACTGTAAGTTTCACACGGTAGCCATCGTAGATCGCGTAGAAGGCGTTCTCCACTTCAACTTTTACTTCCCCGTTGGGTAAGGCGTAGATTTGGATATATCCCTTCTTCACGTCGTAACTCTGCTCGTCGTTGACTTGGACTTGTTGGTCGTCGACCTTTACGTTAGCTTTAGCTGCCCTTGAATCGCGTTGAGAAGCTGGGCTTAGTGTGATGTCGATAACTTTGTATTCGGTTTCAGGTGAACTGAGGGTTATTTTGATTTCCTTGTGCTGATCTGAACCTTGGTGCTGACGTGCAAGGATGGCGTAGTGCTCGGGTTCATACATAAGTTGTTCTTCGACGGAAAGCTGCTGGTCGCCGTGACGAGCTTCTTTGGGGACGTGTTGCAGTAACAGAGTCCAATAATTCCCAAGGGGCACGGGATACGTTTTGTTGTTGAACGTGCTTACGTAAGTTTTATCCACAACGCAGATAGCTGAAAACCAATGAATAGTTGTCACGTTAGGGTTAATAGAAGTATGTAATACTTACGTCTGTATGTGTGTAGTCCTAATCCATGTCCAAACATGCGCGAGGGCAAATGGAACACTGGGTGGACAACGAATACCTTTTGAGCCCAGCTGTCAACTTCGATGGTGTTTATGGTTGAGTGGTGATCCTTAGCCTTTACAGAGATATTCACTGCTCTCAAGTCAGGGTCGAAACGTGCCTCAAATTGGATTTGGTTCTGTTGTCCTGTACCGTGCTGTCTATCTACTTCAAGTGTGGGATAGTGGTAAAGTTTAAGTACTTCGTATATTGATTTAACGGCATCTGATACTTCTTGTTTCATATTTTCGTACTGGACATCAATTTTGACGCGGTCAAGCAGGTTGGAGGTCATTGTCATATTGGCACAAGCAGGGAGTTGGTAATTGCCTTCATTCATCTCACGTTGGCATTCCTTGTACATTGTTTGTTCTTTCAAATACTGTTTTCTCTCCTCGCTTCTGCGCCATTCGAATTTGAATTCGGCTTTGGTGGCTGATTTCAGAGATTCCCCGAATTTCACTTGCATTGTGGTGTCTGCTTTAGGTTCGGTTCTAAGTGATTCGCTTAAGTCGAGACCGTTAGTGTTGGGGATTTCGCTTTCGGCTTCTAACGACGCTTCGTACGATTTCTCATCTTGGTCATCTGATGTCTTCTTGTAATAGAACATCGCCCTTGATTTGGGATGTACGTTGCTCCTTCCAACACCGCCCATTACGGAGTATTTGATGTTTTTGCTTCCTTGGAATTCGATGTCGGCGTCCCAAACGTAGACGTCTGCGCTTTTAATACCAGCACCAATTGTGTCTATGAGGTTTTCTTGGCGAGCCAGTGGCGTGGGCATGCTGAAGAGTTGATGCCAGTTGGGGGATTGGACTGCGTTTCTGTGTTCATTTTCAGTTATGTATTTATATTGGTAACCCGCGCGAACTATGTACTTCTGCGCTGAAGACTGTTCTGGTTGAAGTAGTACGTTTATCTGTCCATAGTGGATGGAAGCCTCTTGCAACAACCTCCATAAAGTAGTTGCAGCGTTATGACCATGCATAAGGTCGTGTAACTTCTGGATGTCAATAAACTCTCTTTCGTGTTCGATTTGAACTCTTACGGCGATTCCAGTTTTCTTTTTGCCGTAGACCTGGTCGAAACTGCGTAGATTTTGTTGACGGATGTAATGAGTGTTTTGTTGCGCCGAAACAGGTTGGAAATTCTTAACGTCAACCCTTGAGGTGTAAGGCCAGGTGCTGTAGTGGAAAAGAGCTGCACCTTCATGGATTTCTTTGTTCTCAATTTCCGCTTCGATTTGGCCGTTCTTCACGTCAACTTTGAAGTTGCTCTGCAGTGGAATATGTACCTGGATGTTCCTGTCGAAACCGCAAATGTATTGTTGACCGTCGAATGGTGTAGTGAAGGAAAGGCGACCTTGGATCTTTGTATTTACTGTGAATCCAAGTTGTACTTTCAGGTTCATCGTATCAGGTTTTTGCAGTTTTCCGCCGTCGCTTATCTGAGGAGATGCTTCACCCTGGATGTACCCTTCGACTTTAACGGCCCTAGGAATGTCGTAAGTGAACAAGAATGGTAAACCTGTCTCAGTAGGGAACGAAAGAGCCATTTCTCTGTTGGTGATTTTGGTGTAATGATATTCCTTTTTGTTCCTGATTTCTTCCTCATATTTACGTATTTCTGGAACAAAAGTATTACTCAATATAGAAATTAACAAGTTTGGAGAATTTTACCTTCGGGTAGTTTTTCCATAGAGCGGTTGTCGAATGGCCAGAATTTATAGAAAGCACCTTGTAGTTCGGTGTAAAGATTGCCCTCGAATTGTTCGCGTTCATCAGCTTTCATGTTCAATAATTGTGCGATGTACAAGCTAGAAAACTTGTGTTGTCCTTGTTGCTGCGCTTTCTGTTGTTGTTCTTGTCTTTGCTGTTGATAATCTGACGTTTGATGTTTGACAACGTGAATCATTTCATCAATACTGGAAACCATCGCGTCAAAAGTAGCCAATTTACGTTTTTGACCTCCCAAATTGTCATGGATGCGAGACCTTAAACCTGTGGGATAAAATTCTTCTTCGCTGCCCAAGTACTGGCAACTTTGGTGATATTTTGATTTAAGTTCTTCGGTGATGTAACTGCGGAAGTAAACTTGACCGTGCTGTACGCCGTACTGCTTCTTAGTCAGAAGAGGCTTGGCGGCTTCAGCAGAGGAACGTCTGAAAATTTAAAAGTTTGTTAACTTCCATGTACGAGGTTTGAAGCAATTGTACTTACAGCCAGTAATATTCTTTGTCTTCAAGTTCAGAAGCATATTCGATAGAAGATTTGACAGCAGCGTTGACATGTTCTTGGGTGTCTATGTTGGTGTAAGCAGCCATGCGTTGGAGCATATCAGCTGGCGGGTTGGCATGCATCAGTTGGTAGACGCAAGCGGCTCTTACTTTTTGGGATTCTCCGGTGTTTTGGTATATTTTGTAAAGAACGGAGCGGGCTACCTTAGGATAGGTCTCGGTCAATTTGTCCATAGCCATGACCATCAAAAGCCTTTGGAATTGCGAGGCTTGTTTCTTACCTTCCAGGTATGGTTCAAATGCAGCAAGAATTTCCGGGTGGCCCACGTTTCCAAGAGCTCGAATGTAAGCGTGGATTTTGTAGGTGTCAGCTTGGGAAACGGCTTCGTGGAGTTGTTTGGTGAAGTAAGGGATTACTGATTTTTCCACATCTTGCCTTGCTTCGTCTGTGCAGAACTTTCCGAAGCTTTTCTCGGGATATTGGGCCTTTGCTTCTTTCCTGTCGACGCAAACTTCCCTGATGAGGTTAGAGTAGGACAAAAGTGCGCTGTAGTACAGGTTTTCTTGTGATTGTACTTTAGGTTTCTTAATAAAATCGAACCAAGACTTCAGATAGTCCCTTGTAGGTTCGCGAACGGCAGCGGTCATAGTCGTCACGATTTCAGCAGCTTCTTCTTCTTTGACTTTACCAGATTGAATCCAGTCCTGGATAGTAAGGAATGCTGGGCCTGTACCACATTCAGCAACTGCATCGCGGAAAGCTGTCCAAGTATCGCGTTGAGGCCCATTCTTATTTTGGCTGTATAAATCGATGGCGACTTGCTTTAGCTCTTGTTGGTCCATTAAACGAATAAGGGCGGTCATGGTGGTGAATTTATTTAAAGTATTTTGACGAAGGAACTGTTCTGGATTTTGCATGTCGCTTCCAATGTCTTGGGCAATTTTGTGAACGCTCTTTTTAATGTCTACGTTGGGGTCATGCTTTATTGACATTCCTTTGTATCCTGTACTGTACGGCAATAAGGGTGCGTGAGGAGCTTCTCTGAGTTGTGGCTGACTCCTTTGATAGTGGTCTTCTTCTGAGGAACTGGAAGAAGACTTTGAAGAGTGTGAGGAGTATGAGTTTCTAGAATCATCATAATCTCCAATGGCACGACGGATTCTTTTCATGGTTGCAGACCTTTGGTATCTGCTCTCATCGCTGTCGCTATTACCTTCATGAGGCCTCTTTCGACTAACACCACCTGTCTTTGGATTTACGTAAGTGTATACGAGGTTACCTAGAGGTATGGGGCTAGGTACTTCACCGAGGTCTTGACCATTAGAGTTTATTTCTTCTAAAGTTACATTTACCATGCTTATAACGGAACCCTTCTGCTTATTGTTTAAGTTGGGACTCATAACGATTTCGTTGACGGTGTAAACGTTTTGTACTGTGTAACGTTTTAAGCTTCCTGTCAGGATACCTCTGCTGATGGAGTTCCTTATGAAGAAATATCCCATGTAATTTGTTCCAGGTTTGTAATCTTTCGAGTCACCAAATCCGTAGTGGTACAAAGGAAGTTCATCGTGATTACTGTAATTCTTATGCTTTACAACCTCTATCACCTCTCCCTCTCCCTTTAATTCAAGATGGCGTGCCAACCAAGGCTTGCTTTGCAGAACATACTCAGGCATGGGGTGAATGTCGTACATAGTTTCAGTTTTACCCGTCACTGTGTCTTCCATAGTTTTGAATACAGCCGAATTTTGATCGTCTTCAGGCAAAGCAGTTAACGTGCTGGGAAGGTGGTCAATAGCGTTGGTATTTAATTGGAATTGACTGGCTACACTTTTGATGACGTTAGCTTCCCAGTTAGGGATGTCCTTGTTAACAATGAGATCTCTGATGACGCCGTCCTTCATTTCAATTTGGAATGGGTGGCTTGACGCAGGTAAGGGTTTGTAGCTTACATCAGCGTCTCGGATTTCGGAGTTCCAACCGTCTTCCAAGTGCGAATGAACTTGGCTGTACTGGGCGTTTGAAATTTGTCCTTGTAGTTTTCCATCTGATCTAGGCTGGATTTTCAAGTCTGATTTAAATATAATTCCCGAATACTGGTTGGCCACCTCATGGAGACTGGCTAATGTCCTGCCACGAATTTTGTAGACGTATTCGCTGTTTTCCTTCCATCCAGGATTCGTCGAGGCAGAGGCGTAACCGACTGTTAAATTTCGACAGTATTATTTTTTTATTTATCAAAATAGAAAATTGAAAACATTACTAAAAACCAAATTTATTTTTTCTTGGCCACCACTTGGCCAGTATATGTAGACAGCTAGACAGCTGTTACAGATATCTAAACTTTTGATATCAAAGAAAATTGTTTGACTGTATTTGATAGAATTTTCAAGTAATTTATTTAACTTAACTTAATTCGTTTAAAATAAAGTAAAAATTATTACCTACGTTTCCATTTTAAAAATGTGTAAATAAAAAATTTGTATTTAAAAATAAAAATCATATACCTACTACCTCTTTACAAAATTTGTAATGTATAATCTTACAACGGAACTATTAATTAAAATGATTATAATTATGCCCAAATAACTTTTTAGCTTTCAGACTGTTAAAATATATAATAACAAAATATACACATTAAATTAATTGCAACCGAAACTAACTAAATAAAAAAAAAACAAGACCAAAATATCTTTAACAAATTGTTCACATAATTTTTATTTGTTTTTCTACTTTTCGACGAATAAAAAAGATGAAATATAACTTATCACTCTGTATACAGTAGTTTAATTAATGAACTGTAGACAAAAGTGTGCGAGAATACCGGATTTTTGAATAGTTTTGCCTTGACTTCAAATATATTTTGGAAAATTTAAATAATTAAGAATAATAAATATAAAAACTTACCGAGCAAACAAATGACGATATGCGACCACATCTTGGACACGAACTGGATGGATCACAGAAGTGTAAAGGAAATAATTTTCCTCTGCTTTATATACCAGGCTCTGAGATAATTTTCTGCAATTTTGCTATTTTGCATTTATGTTTCATGAATTAACTCATGATAAATGTTTTTTTTAATTATTATGCTTGCGTACCAGTGCTGATAATGTATAATTCTGTATCTAAGCGAATAATTAAAAGTGGAAACGTGCCAAAGTAATTGTGCAACGAATTTTTAGTAATAATTTTAAAATTACGAGAATGTAATTTAAAAAACCGTAAAATTGTCAGGTACCCTTGTCAGATTAAGTAGGCAATAATAATAGATTGTTTTATTGAATTATGCTCATTATTACAAAATTTTCCCTATAATAACGCAAATAAGTTAATTACGAAAACGAAAAATGAGTATTATTGAAAACAAAAATCAAAAACGATTACAAAAGTTATGGTATGTCGTATATGAAGTTGTAGAAAATAAAAATAATCACATTGGTAAAACTAAAGACAATTTGGGTAATGAATTAATAAACAATACCATCAAGAGTAATATTTTAAATCTATAATATCATTTTCAACCAAAACATTAAACTATAAAAGGAGTTTTGCGTCAGTAAAGTTGATAAAATAAAACGATAAGTTAGGCCTTTCACGTTTGTAAAATTGAAATACAAGAAATTGTCATAGAACACTTTGTTTTAGCCTCGAAAAATACTAAACATATATTCGAAACGTCGGCAAATTTTGCGAAAAAAACGGATGATTAAGGACACAACTGCTACAATTAAAAACGTTCATACTGAAATCGTTTTCGCGAATATTATTTCTGGTGCATGGAAATCATATATTCTGAAGGATAAAATAAGTCTTGCTAAAGAAAATGATGGGAAATGGAAACAAGTGTTCCACAAAGTACTATTCCTGGACCTATAATTTTATTATACATATTATTATTGAGATTGCAAATTAACTTAACAACGTTAAGATGATTTATTACGGAGAAAAATTAATTCAAACATTGTCAATTCAATGTCAGTGACATATAATAAATAATTCGTTAGATCTAGAATTTCCTGCATAGAAACATTTAAACATAGATTGATTTTTAGTGTAGTCGTAGTTTCTGATTTAAAAATTACAAAACATATTTTGTAGAAGCGTTACGTTTTTTATTTGCTACAGGATGTTTGGTAAATGGTGTCAGAAATTTTGGCAGCGAGTATTTTTGAAGAGTTTTGCGTTTTTTCCTGTCATTTCAGAATGGCCCGTTTCGCTTCATTACTGATGCTTGCCTGTTTGATTAACAGGAAACTATTTATTTATCAGTACATGTGAAACAATCCAGATGCCCTTAACAGGTGTCAGTTACACTTCTCCACGTTTAAATTTAACCAGAAATATTTTAATTGCTTTATTATTGTTCCATACCGTCCATAAATAACTATAAAATATTTATAAAATAAATGTATTTAATCTAAATTATATAAAAGCCAATAGACAGGCCTCAATAGTGATGAATTGGTCCCATTATATCTTTACAAGTGCGAATATTTTCAGTAAACGATTCTCATATATACAAGCATCCCGACGCTTGGCGTCCAGTATTTCCCATGGTTTCTGAACAACCTGAATAACACTATCGCGAAAATTTCAGTTAGTGCGTCCTTTTCGTACCAGTAACGACACAGTAGTGGCTACATTTTGAATTGGAATTACTCCGAAGAAATTGTTTCTTTCACTAGGGAAAGGAACATTTCAAATTCGCTCCAAAGGTATTAATCTATTTTCAAGTAACCGTTTCTAATTTATTACCCAAACACATTTTTTCTGTAATGTTCCTTTTGATGTTTAAACTGTTTGTGAAGGAAAAATGATGCTGATGCATATAAAGCAATTGTGTTGATGGAAATTATTTTTTAAATATATCAAACGCCTGTTGGATACTGTAAACATTGTTTTAATCTTTAAATAAATTATTAATAGCACAGTTAATAATTTAGAACAATGGAGGTAATATTATATGTTTACGAAATCTCGATGGATTTTTAATGCTCCGTAAAAGCATTAGACTCATTTTTATAAACGAGTTTACTGCGGCATTGAATAAATACTCATCTTCTGTTTTTTTCCATTTAATGAATGGCCATAGCGTTTTTATATGTTTAATTCTATTTTTAAGACTTTTACACAAATCGAATTTACTACCGTCGAGTTTTATAAAAAAACACAGATCTGGTTAAATTTATTTTAATAAGGATTTGGCCAAATACAGATTCATTGTGTATACAAGTAGTTTAATTAATAAGGTAAATAGGAATAAGTGGGTGATTACTACTATTTTATTAACAGCTCGGAAACAGAAATTGATAACTAATACAACAATTCGTTCGATTAGGTCGAACGGACACTTCCTGATTAAAAATGAGCAATGATACCGATTACTACAACTACTCTGGAGAAGATGATGACCCACATACAGTGTTTAACTGGAATGAATTGTTGCCGACCATTGTCGTTTACGGCATCACTTTTATTCTGGGCCTGAGTGGAAATATTTTGATTATATTTACAACTTTCAAGTACAGGAGGATGCAGAGTGTCACTAACGTCTTCCTGTCTAGCTTAGCTTCTTCAGACCTTCTCCTAATCATGTTCTGTATTCCCGTTAAGGTCAGTAAGATTCATGTCCAAAAATTTCCCACTTTCGCGTTCTTATAAAGCTAATCTTTGTTTCTCGGCCTCTCAGTGGTCCTGATCTGAATCATAGCGAGTGGAAATTTTTGGATATAATTACGTGATTTGTTTCAATTTTGTTGTGCCGACAACTTTTGGCTGTTACTAAAAGTTGCTTTTTATTTTTTGTTTGCTGATCATACTTGACATATAATTTAAGTTGAGTAAATGTAAACCAGATGTGCCTAATATTTACCCGTTACATAAGTGATAATGAATGGTGTAGTATGATAAAGATAAAAAGTGCACGGTTTCTATGGTAACCGTACTACTATTTTTAGGTGTTTGTATCAATAATTGTAATTAATATTATTAATTAATTACACCGGATTTGCTTCGTACCGAGGATTCATTGCCGGTTGAAAAAAAAATCGGTAAACGGTAATAATACTTATCGCTAGGCAAAATCTGTATATTCAACATATTATTTATTCCGTTTGCAATTAATTTATGGAAAATTTACTGTAGATAAATTCTTCAATTTGGAATGTGAGCACATATAGGGTGTCTCAGGAAAATGTGTCAAAATTTTAACCGTGTAGCAACACCTAAAACCAACTTTTGCCTAACAACACTTTTATCCGATGTTCTGATTCCAATAGAATAACGCTAACAAGTTGCTTATGAATAAAAGTAATAACAAATATATGCGAATGCTTTTCGCATAAATATTAGCATTAATTCCCTTTATTTGTGCCTCTTTTTGTTTATTATTAACTCAACTAAGCGTTTTAGACTTTATAATTATGTTGCCTTTCGAAACAAATTATTAGACGAAAGTTAAAATTTTAGCACCCTGTATATACGAATTTTATTTATATATACCTACTCGCAAGAATTCCGTTCTTTCGATATTTCGATGTTTTAGCTTCCTTGTTTTACCGATTTTTCCAAAGTTCAATTTTTTTTTGTATTTAGCAACAAATACCGTTACAGTCAATGCTCCTCAGATTAGTTTATCGAAAATATAAATATAAAAACCCAAATAATTCAGGAAGCATTATTTAATGATATTGATAAGTATAAGAAATTTTGTAGCAAATTTATCAATGTTTGGTTAATTAATAAAATTAAGTAAAATATATGCGTCACTATCTTTCAACTTACAACAATGTAACACAAACTTTGGTTTTATCGCTTATACAGAGAGTAGCAAATAACTAAAGCTCAAAAAATCTTGATGCTAAGAATAAACACATGATTTTTTTTACATTTTAAGGGTATGATTGTAATCGTTGTACTTTCTGGAAACCCTTAGCTACGTTAATAAAAAGCATGTATCAGAAATAAATTTAAAAGGGTAGAAATTATTTTTTTCCAGAGAAATATTTCTCCAAATATAAAAGTGTCTGAAATCTAGACAAAAACATCTTAGTGTACGTATTTGGACTTGCTGAAAACGCTGGCAAAGTCTGTTTTTAGCGACGTTCTATAGATTGGGAGGAAATCGCAAAATAATTGAAAAGATTAGAACTTTAATATTATAGTTACAAATACGTCGCACGAGTAAAATATTACCGTTTATATAGTAAATCAGGTGCTAGGAATTCGAATTTGGCATCAGATTGTCCCTAAAACAAGGTGCTTTTGCTCTTTACATTTAAATTTTATCACAAAGCAGATATCAGGAATAAATTTGGGAGGATTGAAATGGTCTTCTAATCAGGAAGGAAAATGTATCTAAAATCTAGATATGAATGAATATTTGGCAAAGAAAAACGTAAAAGGACTACCATTGCTATATGTTTAATATAAACAACGTCTAGAGAAAATACGTAGCTAAAATAGAAACTGCATTAGTCACAAATTGTGTACGTTAAAAATAAGTAAATGAAGGAAAAGTAGCGTTTCGGTTTAAGTGTAGCAGTTTTACATAAACTAACTAGTCGAAAATATCTCGCAGAAGCCTTTGCTTTCGTATAAAACACTCATGTGAGGTACATGGTGGATAATTTTCAGTTTTCAGTTTAGTGATTAATAGGGACGTGCCATTTTCAACTTAAGGTGTCGCTTCTACCAAAAAAGGTGTCATGTTGTAACAACAGTATTTATTAGTCAAAACTACATATATGCGCGTCAACTAATGCACTGCTAATTCAGGATTTCTTGTAAATACTATAGAACTACTTACTCAGTATACAAATAATCGATTTTAAAGCTTAAAGAAGATCGACAGTCTATTAATCAGGCTGATATATAACAGTGATGATTTTGAAAAGGATATTTTAAATAAACCAACGATTCGACAAGTTAGAAATACGTTTAATTGTATAATAACTGTTCACGAAAAACTGTAAGTCTGTATTTAAACTAATAAAAAATCAGTGACTACTTTGTTTATTACTGCTTCGAGATTTCTAACTTGTTTAAACAATTGAATCATTTATAAACCGTAGTTTCACCAAACAGATTTCGAAACATCTAGTTCACCTAATATCTGCGATGTAAAAGTTAACCATCTTTTCCATGATTTTGGTTTGTAATGGGAGAATAGATTTAATTAAGAATTCGAGAGCCCTAAGGAAGGGTTTTACTATATATTTACTGTGTCAGTTAAAATAGAATAGATGTTAATTCACTCATGACTTCTACCTATCCCCTACGAAAATAACTCGATCTGCGATCATAATTACTTACTCGTGCTTGACCTTTTAGCTACCTTCTAGTAATTATCAGAGATTTATTTTAGAATTAGAACACATAAACATATTATTTTTATACGTTTCTCTTTGTATGATTGAGTGCTGCAAGTATATTGCAGCAGCTCATATATTTTTTACTCCTACTGCCAATGAATTCGAAAGATCCGCGAAACCTACACAGGTATCAACATTAAAGATTTTTCCATTTTTCCTTTCGTTATTTCTCATTTGTTTAACGTTAATAATGTTGATTACTCAGAAAATGAAGAGCAGTGCCTAATTGATAGGTAGGTTGATTTACAAATAGGTATGCGGAATTCGCATATTTTACGAAGTAGGATCAACAAATTGTAAAAGCCATGAGTGGTTTCAAGTGCATGAAGAAGTAAGTCATTTGAATGCATAAACATAAAACTCGTATCTAAACAGTATAGGAATAAAATGTTTAATTTTAGAAAGCTCTCAAACTGTATCCTCTGTCTGTATTTAATTAATTTTTAACGTTACTTTGTCGAAGAAGAGTGGTAAAACAATTTAGGGCTTTCAAAATTTATCGCCGGCAGTTTAATTAATGATAATTAAGGATGAGTAAAACAAAAAATCGAAAGCCCCATAATGATAAGATATCGTCTCGCTATCGATGTCGTACACAAGATAAGGAGGGGCAATTGTTTAACAGTAAATAATAATAAGCAGATTATCCAATCCGTGGCTGGTAAAATGTTTATTTTCAACGTAGTCAACAGCTGGCGAGGTGTGAAGTGTGACAGCATTTAATAACTATTGAAACTGAGAATGACGATATTCACCAATGCAGATAATAAAAAATTGCAATATTTTCCAGCCTCTAATCATCACAAAGTGTATTTCTAATATTATTTTAAAAATATAAGCACAAGAAGAACGTAAATGTACAAGCAAGTTTTCTATATTTCTACTCCTTGCATGTTTTAATTTGCATATTAAAATAATTCCTAAAATGAATCTAAATCATATTTTTGGAAGCGATAAAACTGTTGACCTTTACTATTTATCAGTTGTAATGCTAACAAGTTCAGTTATAATACAAGCAGTTTAGTAAAGGAGATAAATAATTCGATTATCAGTAGCAGCAGGGTGTATTTACATTTACATTGCTATAAACCTGAATTATTTTGCCTTTTCTAAAGGATTTGCAAGGACAAAAACCGTTAAACAAAAATTTTCCGTGATATTCTGCTTTGGTTTAATTTTAGATAAGTACAACATATCACGATTTTTACTAGGTACCATAAAATGCAACGAGTAATAAATATAAAAATATTATTCTAATAGCCAGCATCTGCCGAAAGTCAATATCTGCTGTTTAATATTGATTAATGTATAATTAAAGCGAAAATGGATAAATTAAACAAGAGAGTTACGACAATCTTCTGTTCCCTTATTTGAAGGATCGATGACACTCACGGCAAAATAATTTATACAAAATACCTGTACTGGATACAAGACTATTTGTATTTGCACGATTAGATTAGAAAAAATATTGATGTTATACTAAATTTTAAATCTGGAAAGTAGTACATAAAATCATTCTAAATATAAAAATAAATCTTCGGTCTAAACAAACATCGAATATTATATATAAAAGTAATGTAATGATATTAAACTAGATGGGCTAGATTCCATATATTTATGATTTTTGTAAATATTTATATAAACACTTCGTTATACCACTTTTCGATGAAGTTAACAAAAATATTGTGTTTATTTAGACGACTTCGAGTTACTGGGACTATATTTCCCCTGGAAAAAAGTGTTTACAAAAACAAAGTTATAAAGACATAATTAACAGTTGTGTACCTGTTTCGTATGGTTTATATACTTTTACGATTACTTTCTCTTAAATATACAAAAATATACTTATATACAGGGTGGTCGCAAATTGTTTCCCGATACGGGTACATTTTTATACAAACTTTTGAGAAGTACGAAATTTTTGACGATATCTTAAATGACTTAATCGTATTTCAAATTTATACTATCCGGACACTACGCGGTTTTCTTCAAATCTCAAACGTTTCGAAAGGGATAGTTTCAGGAGGTGACTTACTATTCCATCTGCGACGTTTTTATTTCATAAAGTATTATTTTCATTAACAGGGCTAGTGTATATATTTTTTTCATTTTCAGGTAGCCAAGCTTTTTTCTTACACATGGGAAATGGGTGCTGTTATCTGTAAGAGTGTACATTACATGCAGAATGTTTCGACAATTTGTTCAGTTTTAACGTTGACGGCAATCAGTATAGAGAGGTAAAGATGAGAAACACTATCAGTTTAAGTACCAAAATATTAGTCAATCTTTTCAACCCAAATTTGATAAAGCAGTTGTGCTAATTTTTTAGATACTATGCAATCGTACATCCTATGAAAGCTAAATATATTTGTACTATCAGCCAAGCGAAAAGAATTATATTATTGATATGGGGTCTATCCCTGTTGCTAGCGACACCCACATTAAAAGTGCAGGTGAGTAAAGTCCTAGTGGAAAAATATAGAAACTGTGAATCTAATAGTTTACTGGTAGATATTTAACACGCTAATTAAACTTTCCACACAAATTTTCTTTGTGCAAATGTTTTCTTCCAGATACATTTGCCTGTTGGACTTAACAATGAGTACCGCTGGTGTGTCAGGAACTGGGATAACCAACCAATATGGCGGTTTCACGAACTGTACATGTTAATTTTAATTCTTGTACTACCATTTTGTATAATGACGTTCTCGTACAGCTTAATTTGTTGGGAAATTTGGAAAGTTATGGAACGACGCTCCGTGATGACCAGCGAGTACGCGTGAGTCTCATTTTTATATATAAAAAAAACATGGGAAAATTTAAAAATGTACATTTTTCAGATTAACGAGAAATTACGCGATAGTAGTGAATGGAAAGGGCGTTGAAAATTTCGTTGTAACGGAAAAGAAAAAGCCCAAAGTAAGGAATGGTCGCGATGATACTCACATGGTGAAACAAGTCATTTGTATGCTGGTAGTTGTTGTGGCATTGTTTGCAGTGTGCTGGGCTCCTCTTTTAATAGACAATTTACTTATGGCATACGATGTTCTTCCATATTTAAGGATTGGTCCATTGAAACATATGTCTATTGCTTTTAGTCTTATGGCTTACTTTAACAGGTTGTTAGGTGTAAGTAATAAGAAAATATGTACCTATCTATAACGTAATTTTTTTAGTTGCATAAATCCAATTGTTTATGGATTTATGTCAAAAAGTTTCCGGGAAAGCTTTGTCCTAGCAGTTTGCTTCTCATCAGATATCAAATCTGGACATCGAGAAAGCAGCTACAGCTTAAAATATCTTTCAAGGAGGGGCTCGCAAACAAGAAGTACATCTATTAGGTGAAACGCTGACGCTTTTCTACAAAACATTCTAGTCATATAAAAGTATTGTTTAACGTGCAGTTATTTAAAATGAGCACTAGCAATAAACTGCATGTATGCACTAGGTATTATAATTATCTTAGTGACACATGTTTGAAAGTGATCTATTTGTGATCTAACCTTGCATGTGATGTAAATTTAATAAACTGTCGATTAAAATAAATGTTATTTATATGGAGAACTGTAAAAATAATAAAGGTACTTTCACTTTCTGTGACAACTGTATGTACCTAAATTTTGGATTAGATCAATTGTGAGAAATATGAATTCTTAATTTTATTTTTAAATATATTTTTCTTCCTGCATCTATTTAAATAAATAAAATTTAAATTATCTACTTTAAAATGTATATTTCTCCCATGGTCCGTGTTTTTCCATAATATCATCTTAAAATAGAAACCGTTAGATGGCGCAACGAGTATCTTTCAAAATAAAGACCTGTGTTTAGACAAAAGCAATCCACTTTGCTTCGATGCTCTTTGCATGTGCGTCTCTTATGGGCCATAGAATCTATTTTATGATTTACGGCCATTTTATAGTACGTTTTATATAACGACGAAACCTAACTTGACCTATCAGTACAATTTTTATTTTTTAAGAATCGAGAAAAACGCGCATACCGGGAGACTCGAAGCAAAGTGGATTGGCTGTCTGTAGTAGAAGTAAGTTCTACAATCTACACCAACAGTAAATAGACCAACACTGTGTATACAATGGTTAGTGGAGTGCTTTCCAACTTTTTAACTGCGTCGCAAAACGAAAATAATTTAAAATATCAAGATCACGCAGTCGATATGATAAACAATAATATTAGTTCTTTTTTTCTGGGGTGGGCCGTGCACACCCCTGTTCCCCTCCTACGCCCATGGATTCTACATGAACGTATTTTAATTTAATTTGTGACTTTAACCTTGAACATAGATATGTCATTCTTAAACCTAGATACATTAACTATGACGCAGTGGCGTGTCGGGTATGCATCGGAAATTTACGTGATAATTCACGAAAATTCCACGGTACATACATTTTTAGGCGTTATAAAATATTTAGAAAATCAGAAATTGTATACTACATATTTATTAAATAAAGTTCGGTTAAAAATAGTGTCGTTCTTTTAATTGGAAATTAGGAGTCAATGTAACGAATACCCTCAGGCGACGCACATGATAGAATAGTTCAACTCACGCTCCATTATTAACAGGGCTGCAGTTTGAATTCTGACCAATAGGAATTCGATAAACGCAACCGATGTCGACGGAAGAACTAGAGATGGGCGCGAGTGTCATTTCATTTCTTTAGAACTAAATTAATTATTTTCTCGTTATTTAACCTGTTCACATGATTTATGGATTTTAAATAAAGGGTACAAATCTTCGCGAGAATAATACGATATATTTGCTATACATAATAATTATAATTTGCATAGTTTGTACACAATACATCGAGCAATACATTTTTGAACGCGTACACATCTCTATCAAAATTTGACCTATTCTTCGGGTTAAAGTCACACATTGTCCGCTCTCTAGTCATGACAAAGAAAACATATTTTTGGCACCTATATCCAAAGTACATAAAGGCCAAAATCGATCTAGTAAAAATATTGAGTAAGTGAGGTCGATTGTCGAAGAGATCATAGCGTCCTCTATCAGAGTACAGGGAATAGTTGAATTTTTAGAAGCCTACCTCGTAAATGTAAAACAATTTCAAATTAACATAAAAAAATTACAAATTTAAACATAACTCGTTTTCTTTGCGGTTAAAGGAAACTACCTTATTTTAAGTGATACACACTTTCCCATTTAGTTATTTGTATTCTAAACATTGGAGTAAAACATTTATGAATAGAATTTATAAAAATGTTTAATAATTTTTCTTTATTTCCCAATTATTTAGTCTAGTTGGTCTCATGTCCAAATTCCTTGAAACAAAATACGTTCCTCTAATAAAACTTCCTATTTTTCATAAACTGTATTTGTACTTTAAAATCCTTGTAACACAATATAGAAATTTATTTTTGATAAAATTTTATTATAATCTTAAAGGTACAACAAAAAATAAAATAATTTTGTAATATAAACAAATTTACTTAAATACAACCCTACAACCACGACACAGAATACGAAACATAAAAAAAATATTCACATAATAAATTGCCTTCAACGTAAAATTAATTTTTAATACAAATTAAACTAAGTGAAACCCTACATGTTAATATAAATATTCTCCTACTACGGTGTAATTTTTTTTTTCAACATTATTGTGCAACCAGAAGAAAATACATCACTTGTAAAATTTGGCTTTGGACCATTTAGATATAAAAGAATTTATGTAAATTTACACCTTACTATCTAATATCTGAATAGAAACGTTGGCAATTAATTTGTATTAAAAAATGTCATATATATTCAAGATTAATATAAAACAGTTAAACACCTTTAAAAACCTGTTTATATAAATTCTCCTTGAAACTCTAATCAAGAAATTTACTTTTATTGGTGTTCTAATATCGTTTTATAGTCGTGTTATGTAATCTGTAAATTGGACATAGAAAAAGAAAATCTCAGCAAAATATTACAGTGCCACTTATTTTATAGTAACCTTGACATCTACTATCATTACTGAAATGAGATATACTTTGAGCATTGCATCTAAACACTAAAATATGGTATCTATCATATTAACGATGAATAAAAATTATTGCAGTTTTCACGAGCAGGTATTTCAGACTAGCATATTTTTTCGACTGAGGGAACATTGGAAGTTTGTAGATATGCAGAAGCAGAAGATAAAAGATCTATCCTCTTCTTGTATTTCCGCTGTTCGGCCATTTGATCTTTTAACTCCTTCAGCTGGTGCGAGAGAGTGGTAACGAGGAGTTGTGTGTTAAGTAGTTGTGTATGAAGACCTTTTAATTCAATTTGCTCTCCTTCTTTTTCGACTGCCGCTAGAGATATAGCTCTTAATCTAGGAAACCATTCCAAATTCGCATGTTTCACCATATCATACACATAACTTTCGGGACCAGTGAATTCTGTCGGGTCTTTTACTCTTATTAAAACGATGAAGTACAAATAGTGCCACATATTATGTTCATTTTTTATGTGGTCCTCAAAATTTACTATTTTATTATCAAAAGCAGACCTATTTGATCCTAGAAAAAGATAACATAAACAGTACAAATTATATATTGCCATATTTCCGCAAGCTTACCACATATAAAACAAGTGTCTTTTAAGATAACTTCTTTATGTTGTTTTTCAGTTCTCAAGTCGGCGAACGTGTCAATAATTACACCAAAAATGAGGTTAAGTACAATAATGATAACGACAAAGAAGAATAGCAAATCGTAAATTACTCTGGGAACGAAAAGAGCTTCCTACAACGAAAATAAATAACAATTAATGAAGGAATAATTACCGAGTTTTTTAAATAGTACCTCACTACTGGGTGCTCGTAATATATCTCCAATACCCCCGCCATTCCTCAGACCCTGATTCAAAGTGGTCAAAATGCACATTATTAGAGAATCGCAAGCTCTTTCTTTCTTTTCTTCACCCGGATCGATTAACTCACAATATTCATCCGAACCGTCTTTGTACTTACTACCAGTAAGATCCGATTTGCATGTCTCGTCTAAAATAAAAAAATATATTTTGAGAAACGAACATTTCCATTTTTGTGCAGTTGAAGGAAACTGCCACGTTAAATGATAAAACCTAATTACGTTACTTACCCGTTTTCTTTTTAACGCTGACAATAAAATCATCTTTGAAGAACATGTATCCGATAATAGAGAACATATAAACCAGAATTAGAGCTAACACAGCGGTCAATATTATAGAGCGGCCATTTCTGGTCACAGAACGAATTACATTTAGAAGGGTTTCCTCACGATATACAACATCGAACAACTGAAAAGGAAATTATGTACCAAGGCACTTATAAAATAAATTTAAAATAACTCACCAAGAGAGAATAGAAAAAGGGATGCATTACGAGTCCAAACATGCAAAAAACTAAATACGCCAGATGGTACACCAGTTCGGCATCGGTGAGTATTTGCAAATAGGTTTTGGTGAGCGTTCCATGGTTGCCCATTATACTGACTAGATGTATGCATTTCACTAATATTGTAACTGTTCCGAGTAACCATAAAGTAGGCTCCGGCCCGAGAGAGCATATCAGTCTAAGGATGGTGGAAGCCACTAAGGTTCTTATACCGGTTTCTCTTGGCAAAGTGATCACTATGGCTGACGATATTATCATGACGACCCAGATCAGTGCTGATATGGAAGAACTTATTGCTAAAATAGAAAAAAAAATATTTACGTAATACGATATAAAAAATTATAGGTATCGCTTACTTGGCACGACATCGTCAAACGGGTAGCAAAAAGCAACTATTAAATTAATAAGGACAGCACAGTTGAAGAGGATGTTACTCCATAGAGACATATAGCTACTGACCCTAGATAAAATAGGTTGCGCTGAAAACAATAAGTACACATAAAACGATATCAAAACGAATATGTGAAATGACCTACCTCGAAGCTTCTTTTGCCAGTTCATTTCGTTAAACATCTGATCGGTTCTTTCGAAGAAATCTGTCACTTTAGAACCTTGATCGTCCCTCTCAGCTGTGTGTAGTACTCTAGTTTTAGTGTCATCAGTCAAATATTCGCATATTTCAGGTATAGGGAAAACAATCTGCTCTAATGTACGATCATGTCTTACAATTTCTATTTGTGCAGTATACGAAGTATAATAAGTTATAGCTTTTTGAGTTTTAGGATCTCTACCGGAATCCGTTGGTTTAAGTAAAGATGCTAGTTCCTTATTGTGCTGGGACAACTGATGACACAAAATCCAAATATTGTGCCCCACTTCTCTGGGCGAAACCATATTTTCTACGCTGGCATCATCCACATCGTCGTCAGCCGTTTCTTGATGGAAAGCACGACACGCTACGTCTACGAGTTGTTTCGGATTCATGTTGTACAATATGCGCTCGGCATTCTCACTATCACCACGGCTCTCCATTATAGCCAATAGCAGTTTAGAAGCGTTATTTTTTAGTTCTAAAACCAAGTCCATGCGGGATTTCCCCAGTGGGCTTATATCGTTCAAAATCAACGCAGTTATAATATCTAAACCGTTCGATTCGTGAGTCGCAATGCAGTTTTGGTTCTCATGACAAGGTCCTTGACAATACTCGGTTAAAGTTTCTAATGTCTGATTAATGAGAGCAACATTATTTTCGTTAATGTACAGACCTAGAAGTCCGAGACCACCAGTCGTCGAACCACATATACAATCTAAGAACATCAGCGTTTCCGATACGAGATTAAAGTTGTTTTTATTATTCTGATTCCGTAACAAATTCTGCAAATCTTTATTGTGATTCTCACAAAGTAATTGGAGGAATCTTAGGATGGGTTGCATGATTAATACTTTGTTGGAGAGTCCATTTTGATCTTCCCGCTCCCGATGTTTTTCCAGTTTTTCTGCAAGTAAATCTTCAAAAGCCGAGGCAGAATTTGACGAAACGACCCCTTCTTCTCCGGCACCCATGTTACGAATGTGAGCGTAAGCTTGGGAGGTCGTTTCAGCAGCTCTACTTAGTTCCTCTCTTAATTCGTCACTAATCAATATACCATTGGTTTTGCTTCCTTGCTTTTTTGACAGTTTATCCAAGTCTTTTCCATCCTGTTTGTCCTCATGAGCCTTGGCAGCAATATCGCTAGTGTTTACAGTGACGGTGGACTTTATCTCTTGCTGTGAATATTTCATTTTATCATAGAACATCTGAAAAAAATTTAGGGACGTAAAGTGAAAACTAACAATTTTCAACTTACCTTAAAGAAGGACTGACTTAGATCGCCTCCGAGAAGTTTGTTGAACATACTTTTTTGTATAACGGTATTACCACCTTCGAGCAGAGCAATACCGAGCTCGACAGCTTCTTCAAATATCGAAGGAGAACTACCAGATTTTACTACTAATTCCACCACTAAATCAGAAGTGCCTTCCCTATCTAGATGTGTCTGGACTTCGTGAAGTGTCCTTCCTGCCCTTCTTAAAATCTTAGCTAAAATTTGTATACATTTCTAAAAACCGTGCGATATTATACTGATATCTATCTACCTCCAGGACCGTGTGTTATAGGAGTTTTTATATGCCCCAATTCTAAAGTGGAACTGCTCGCAACAAATGTTTTTCCAAAGTATCTAGCAAGTAAACTATTACGCAAAACATCACCCTATAAAAAAGCACAATTTTAAAAGCACTGCTTTCATAAATCGACATAAAGAAAGCAAGCAAATTGTTCGGTTCATCTTAGCAAATCCTTTATTGCTAATATGTAATACAACATCAACGTTGGTCAGGTCTTCCAAAATAATAAACAAGGATTGTAAACTTAAGCCTTCAAAAAAAAAAAAAAAAAAATTTAGACATAATGACTGCTAAAAATAATAAAGGAAATACGAACATTTACGTTTTCGTAATTCTGATGCTCTTGAATATGTACAATAAAAATTAAAGTGCACATCAAAATGTAATAAATAAAAATCTAATACTATACCATATCACTATCTGATTTTTCATTTATATCGATCTAAGCAGCATTTAAAAAAAAGATAGTTAAGTTATATTAGAGTCAGTATAAGCAAAATATATAGATAACCTTCTCGCCGTATTCGGAGTCTACGGCCATCATTTTACGAAGAGTTTTTAAGACTTCCACGCACAGCTTTTCCTCCTTTTCCTCCAACAACTTCTCTGTATGTTTAATAAGTCTAAAAATAACGACAGAATCATTTGAAACGGTAGTTTTAATTTTATATTCAGTTGAAGTTTATTTGAATACCTTCTGATAAAACCCCCACTTTCACATTTTTTTCTAGCCTCGGTACCAGCGGGGAACAGCAAATGCGGTCTATACAATACGTCGACTAGCAGTGATAATTCCGACTGAACCAACGGCTTCAGTTGATCTTGTAATAAAGAAACTATATCTTGCAAACCCTCTATTATACTTCTATCTAACCTCATCAACTGAAATATTTCAAATGTGTCAATAAAATAATAAATACATACAAAAAGTAATTACTTGTGACTGCGACCTTTCTATTTTAGGTGTCTTTGAGGCCTGTCGCCACTTATTCGTTTGTTTACTCAAAATAGTTGCTTTATTAAACATCGCGTCCACTTGATTTTCCAGATCCAACGGAATTGCTATACTTCTGTTCTTGGCTGAAATTGAATTATAGACATTATGCTGCACCGCCTGTATCAACATCTAAAAACTAACCAACTTCTGAAAGTGTACGAATACAATTTTCAACATTAAAGCGTTGTGATGCTGATAGCCAAGGACACTGAGATACTCTAAATGCTGATTGCAACAGCTGTACAAAAATGGGTTGCCTTGTCTGCAAAATATATATATTTCTTATAACATTGGGAATAAACAATAATTTCCTTTAGACCAAAAAAACACTTATGAAGCTTCCAAGACTAGTAGCCCAACCACCGATGTAAGAAAGCACATGCAGTTAGTTACTATTAAACAATTCAAACTTTTTAAATAAATTAGTTATGTTTAATCGAGTCTGGGTTAAGTTTACCCCTTTTTACACCATGCTGTTATTGTTAAATTTATAGACTATATAACAATAGGACAAGTATTTTACAGTATAGCTACAGCTGTTATTTACAAATAGTAATTTGATAAACGACTGTAAAATAATGCTCTATTTTATTCTAATTTATGTAGCAACAGGTTAACTAATAATATTTAAGTTTTAGTTTAATTTTCGGTTAAAAATGTACCTAAGAGAAAGCTTACCATTGTTTAAAGTTCCATACAATAATGCAATATGAGTTAGATAAGCATTATTATAACAGCTGACGAAAAGCTCAACCCATGTGTGTTATGTAAAAGGTGGTTGTGTACTTTGTTTTCATTTAAATAAACCTGAAGGAATGTTTGAGAAAAAATATAATTCGATTGGTTTTAGAATATCTATAATATATATCTACGTCTACATCTACACATGTACACGATGTAACTTTAAGTGAGTCAGTTATTTCAGAAGTAACGAACACCAAATTATTACTTGATTTAATTAATTAATTATTTTTAATGTAATTAATATTTTTTAAACCAAATAAGCAATTTGTTCTTTGCTTTTGTACTAATTTGGGACATGTTATTTTAAGGCGACCATATTTAAGAAACAATTTTTATTAAATATTAACTAATATTCGTATATGGATAGACATTGTAAGTAAAACTAAATTAAGTTTTGAAATTGATATTTTTGCTTTTTTATAAAATGTACATAATAAAAAGTAAACTACTTATAAAATACTTATTAATCTGATAGATTAGATACTTTTTAATATAATTTCTAAATTCTAAAGGGCAAAGGTAGCCCCCCGTATAAGTGTGACTCCCATTTAAAGTTACATCCTGTATAAGCTTCGGATTTGAGATAAGTTAAAAAATCAGTATTAAATAAATTGAAAAACAAGGCATTTCATAGCGTTTAGTATTTGAAAAAGATATCCGACGGTTTTTCTTAAAATTTACAAATGAAACGGTCAGGTTTTAGCATTTGTTTATATGGCCTTTTAGCATTAAAGACATCTCTCATACGTAAAGAAAATTTATAACTATGTCGTAATACACATGGGAGCAAATGTAGCAAAATGTTCAGCACTTTGTTCTCAAATTTATACACATAATACATATTCTAACCAACTAGATTCATATTGAGAAAATTTCTAAAAAAAAAAAAGTAAAATAAAACAAATGGTTTTAATAAGTTTCGAATGTGGTTAAACATTTTTCGAGATCAGCGATCTACTTACATTAGTGGAAAATGGAGATTGTTTGAGTTGTATATTAACTGAGAACGGATCATAGTCATCCATGGTAGAGTCGCTCCAGTACACCCTGGCTTCATGCAGATGTTTCTAATGGAAAAGATACACAAAAAAGACACCATAAAAGCAAGTTACAAGATTGATAGCTCGAAAGTTCAACTACGTTATTTCGTGAATTACTTTGCACTAACATCTACCCATTTTGACAGGTTACTCAAGAAAAGAAAGCACAAGGATGAAATTGAAGCACATGCAATGTTAAGGTGGAGGAAACTGGAAAATCACCAGAGAAAAAACATACCTGAACTGTAGTGCTCTGATCAGAAAAGGGGCTATTAAAAAATGTAATAATAATATTCATTACACAATTAGTAACATAATTTTCTAGTGCCCTGTCTGGATGTTTTCTGTCTGTTGGTGCGGTTGCTATGTCGGCCATGTCGACTAAAAACGATTTTTCAAATAAAGTCCACATGTGACTCGAAGTGTAGATCTCCTTCATTTCTACTTCTGTATCGATGTAACAGTGGTTCAAAAAGCCGACATACGCCTCCTTGACTTCAGGAATACAATCCGGATGAGTCACCATGGCAACGATATCGTCTAACGGTAATAAACTGTGACATTTGATTTCAGTGTACACATTTTTTCCCATTGTACAACAAGCTAATAATTTTACCAACTCCACGTGATACTTCAAAGGGCTACCTTCATCCATACAATGCCTCTCAGAACGCATCATTTCTATGAAGTGATTAAACGAAGCCTTATCGTTATAAAACACGAGCACGTCTTCTCCTGCATTAATTAACTACAAATCAAAATGTTTTTACCATGGCAAATGCAAGGTATTTATATTCGATCCAAATAAACAAAGAGTACTTACTTCTTGCATAACCAAATCCTGGCTTTTTCTTATAAACTGATTTTCAGCTTTAACTATAGTTTGAAGAAACTTTAAATATTGCACGTGCCTCCCATGGGTTTCGATGCAATGAACAAAATGTTGTATAACTTTCTCATTTTCTTCATTACACAGCATTGAATTATCTTGAAATATTGCACAAACCGTCTGGGCCTCTCGAATCTACAACATTAATGATACTTTATATATATAGTTAAATAGAAATAAAAGTTATTACCCCAGGATTTAAGAAAAGATCTAAATTTTTATATAGTAGTACTTGATTCTGTCTATTGCCCAAGCAGAAGTTTTGCAAAAATTCATGGGCGAGTCTCATAAGTTCGTTCATTCTGATATCTTCTTTTTCGTCATACGGAATCTGAAGTAGTTCCAATACAACAGTGTGTACTCCAACGTTCCTTAGTAGACGCTGCTCGTGTTTTCTTGGCTTTACGATTCCCGTCGGGGAACCTTGAGTACAAAGTTTATTCATTCTAATTAAAATTTGTTGGATTTTTTTATATTCGTCTGCCTGTTCCGGGTGTAGATGTGGCCCCACATCTAGATTAATAGCAGACCCTTTTTTTTCCAGAACACTAACTGTCGGGGTCTTTGTTGTCGCTACTTCCTCCTCTTCTTCTTTGTTCTTTTTATTATTAGATCCATGATCTTCAACACATTTTGATTTATATACCCAGAGTTCTGATTTTTCTACGGACTGCCTTAAAACATCCAAATCTGCTTTTATTTGTTTATAGGATTCTACATCGCTATCTGATACTAAAAGCTGGACTTGTCTGAATTCTTGTAAGACTTCTCGTCTTTGGCTAAAGTGTCGGAACAATAAGTGTAAAGCACCCGACACTAGAGGTGCGTAATCATGCATGGTTAAATGCAAAAGTACCCTTAAAAATGTACGACCCCCATGTCCATCCAAATCTAGAACTGCACATTCTTCACTGCTGCCAAAAATTCCTTCAGCCTGGCTTCCTATTAATTCCAAATCGATATTTTTCTGACAAAGATTTAGATCACCACCACTGTTTTTCTCGGATTCATCAAATTCTTGTTTAAAAATACTCAATAAGCAGCTTATTCGATAATCAAGACGAACATTTAAAATAAACTACAAAATAAAAATTATCAAAATTATATTATTCTACATATTTAATAGAACAAAAACCTGCAGTATTTCGATTATTTTTAACTTTGTATCCATCACTAAAGGATTTTCCTTCATGTACAGAGCAGTTTTTTGACCAGAATTAGAGGTAACTCCTGATCTTCCTACAGAGCCTAAAGTTAAGGATGTCATTACAGCCCCCATATCTCCGATTGTACGTAAAACACCTCCTTCTGCTGCTCAATTCAAAGAAAATATTTAATTAGATATATTGTTATATGCTCATGTGGAATTTAAAATTTAAAAAACATAAGAAGAAAATATTGAATAATAGCACTATTAACTTAAGTTATAATGTCATATACCCTTGCATAAAAGTGAATAAAAACCACACAAAATACCTCTCACAATTCCTGCAGATTCGTCAGCTATATATAAAGTAAAACTGCATTAATACCAATAATAAATACAAATTATTTACTTACAGTCTATATCACCAGATGGCACCCGCCCATCCAAAAAATCACTCTCAGAAACACAATCCAAGATGCTAAGAAGCGTTTTTGTTAGTTTTAGTAAATCTGAGAAACTATAAAACCCAAAATATATTAATTCCCTTGCTAATTTCACTACCTAAAAAATAAATATTGGAATGTAAATGACAGCTATACAGATACGAATGAACTGACCTCAAAAGTAAGCTTATTTTGCTCTTGATCCGCAAAGGACCACATTTTAGCTACTACATTACATAAATAGCCCCCTACGAAGGCTATTGTAGACGAAAACTTTGCTCGTACTGCTTCTTTATTTGCATCAGGCGTTTTATTGCAGTCATAGCTAAAATAAAATATTTATATATGTACATTTAGCCTAACTTCTCTACATCTTTTCAAATCGAAGTACTTTTTATGAATGAAAAAAATCATGACAATCGAGGAAACTCATCATTACGAAATACATAACTGTAATAACTTTTTAGTTCAACAAAATTCGGTGGAAAAACCCATGCAATATCTTCAAAAAGCAAATAATGGTCAAAAACCACACGCTCGTTTGTTGCTTACCTGCACATATATCCTAAAAACATACTATGATGTAATTAAATATCTAATATTAAATGAAACGAGTGTCGCCATTATTCACAAAGTAATAGCGAGTATAAAATGATTCGATACTGTCATTTAAAGTAAATAATTTGATAGGACACGGCGATATTAAAAATAACGATAGGATAACTTACTCGTTAATAGACATTTGAGATGGGATTTCCGACCAAAGCCGAGCGTACTTCACAGGAGTAACGGGTTCTTGAGGATCTCTGTCTACGTGCAAATGAAGCATAAGTCTACAAAATGAAGCTCGAAGGTCAAAACTAACACTTTCATCTGCCATACACTTTAGAATAAGCTCAATGTCGAGGTGTGGTGAAAGATTATTAAGAGCTAAATATTGTCTGTTTAAGCACATATTTGAGAACAAATCCAGTTGATGTCTGTAATAGTCAAGAATGGCTTGATCGTCCTTAGACCCCAATTTCGCTTTTCTGCAAAGATCGGTAAGTGGAACAGATTTCTGGCGGTTATTCCACAGCAATACTATATCTTCTACAACTGTGATTAATGGCTCTAATTCTTCATCGTTTTCTAAAATGTTATCTTCATTTATCTCTGCAAGCTCAACTTGAGTTTTCATCATTCGAGTCTCGATGAGAATATCTGAATTTTTTTGACTAAGAACACTTTTACAGATCAGTTCTTGAGTCACAGGAATGGCTTTCCTATTCGAAATACACAGATCTGACAGATAATCTAAGAAACGAGATTCCCAATTATTCATATTTTTTCTCACTAAGCCTACAAATGTTTCAATTTCTGCCGGAGTTATATGCTTCTCTAATAATTTCCTGTTATTATGTAATAATGCTGTTATCGTATCTTCAGCTAATATATCGTAACCAATTTGTTTCTGCATGAATCCAAAATGTTTAGCAATGTATTCCTGATTCTTTCTATAATCCTGTTGGCTCAGCCTTAGTATTCTGTAGCAGAGACGGAACATATATTTGTAAGCGGAATGACGAGGATCACTCAATTCCTCTATTTTTAAAAAAGGGCCTTCGCCTCCTGAATCCAAAAATGGTCCCTGTAAACAAATCAAAGTTACGATGTTCTCGATATGCTAATAAATTTATTACTTGTAAAATTTTAAATAGCTGTGTTAGTATAGCTTGCTCTCTTAGTAACTTTTGCCTGTCCCTATTTGGATTCGTTACAATTAAATCCAATGCTTCGGACTTGTTTTGTTCGCTTTCAAGTTCAGCCACAAAATAGACAATATCTTGCAGTAAAGATGTCAGCGATCTACAACATTCCTTTTAATAAAGCATATTAAGAATAATAAATGAATTAATACCTTCTCTCGTTATGGGAAATAGTTCCCGTCTCTAATTTGACAGACAAAGCTGATAACAATTTACATGCGTCATTGGCAAAATCTAAATCTCTGACTTCCACCGGCGAGACAGAAATCAAGGCAAAAGCCTCTTTATCCTCTTTGGTAACTGCACATCCAACCTTCGACATAACCGGCCTTTCTTCATCTTTATCGATAGGTACGGACGTGGAATGTACCCAACTGTCCGTATAAAAATGATGTAAACGTACATAACTGGACTGAGGTACTAGAGAATCTCCCCTGGTCCTACCTGTCGGGTCTAACTCAAATAGTGTGGCGATATCGTTAAAAAAGCCAACTGGTACCAAACGGTAGGCGGGAATATCGGAATCACCTTGTGATGTTTTTTTATCATTATCGGCATCCACTTCAGCAGCTAAATATTGGCCTGTCGCTAAATGTTTGAAACGAAAAAGGGAATCCCATTTTCCAGCTCCTCCTCGGCAAGGGTACTGTTGGACAACTTCAACCTCCCACAAAGCTGTAAAATTTGTTAGTCAATATCAAATAAAGGTACAAAATATATTTTTAACTAACCTTTACTGCTAGTAGCAGCTGTGGCGCTTGTGCGACCCGTGGTCCTTAAAAATACGTGCTGCTTCTTCTTATATTCGTCCATTGTTAAAAATTTCTCTTGTTCGGCATGAAATAGCCTGACGACATCCCCACCTTTCAAAACATCATCTAGATTTTCTCGATGTTCTAAGAATAAACTGACTTTCCAGGAGGTGCTACCATTTACTACATTTACTTCTTTACAGCCTGGATTATCAGGTAATTCGTGATTCGAAGCTACATGAAGTACTTGCTGGCCTGAACTGACTGGACTTAAGATAACTTTATCACCAAGTACAATATTATCACCAGTGGCTCGCAATTTATAGAATTGTTGAATATAGAACCAAGATCCTTCATTTCCATTTCCGTCTAAGTACACCCTCATTGCATTTTTTTCTAACAAAGCAGGTAGTCGTTTATTCACAGTTAAGTACTTATTAGATTTCAGATGCAGCAACTAAAATTTAAAGCACTTTAATATGCACAACTTTTTAAATCATATAATTACTGACCTGCACCACATTGCCATACTGAACATTTGTTCCAAGCAATTTTTTATTTTCGGTTTCGTTCTGCTTTTTCTCAATTTCCGCAGCATGCTAGAAAATATTTTTAAAATGTTTCATAAACATTTTACTCTTCATAATTACACAGATTAGAGATTAAAATATAAGTAGATGCTAGAAAAATAAGGAACTTAAATGTTGCGTGTTACTTACATGCAATCTTTTGAGTAAATTTGTGTCACCGTTAGAACCCATGCTTTGTTTCGCTGCTTTCCAAAATTGTTTTTGAGCGGAATATCTGTTCATTGGACATATACGAAACAAACAGTCCCTGAATTTTTTTGGAGGGTTTAATAAATCCCCAGCTTCGGGGCAAACCACACAGCGATCATCAACTAAACTACAAAATTAAATATAAAAATTATTATGTACCTATTTCAGAAAATGAATTGGAATACATACCCCAATGTACTCAAAAAACCGCTAACTGTGCCTTCTGCATATAAAGAGACAATGTCTCCTAAATGCAGAAGACTCGAGTTTCCCATTTCCACCATTTTTTTATTTTTCTAAAACATTTTTATAGTTCTGCATACTAAAAATGTTCAAATCGTATAAATATAAGGACAGTACCCAGTACCAAAGATAAGATAAATCATAATATAACATCTGTCAAATGTCAAAGAGTAATATTGTTTATACTAGATTTAAATAGAAATGCAAGTTATAATAATGTTTATTCTATTAGTAAATAAACTAGTCGATAATTTAGTTTTAGTTAAGACTGTTAAACGGTAAATTGCAAAATAAACAGAGGTTATGTACATAAAAACCACCGACCACTTAGGGGAAGTACATGTTCACACGAAAAAAACATCCATGTATCTCACTTAAAACGGCACATATCAAAAGACAGTAATTATTTTATTTCTCTACACTTTACATACAAATACTGAGGTAGGATTTATTGATAAAAACTTGTTTGAATAAACCTTTAAGTATTTTTAATACGCAGGTGCAAGATTATTAATACTACACTATAACTCATTTCCGTACGTAGCTATTCTATTAAGGGGGTATCACAAAATATTTTAACGCATTTTTTTTCTGTGTCATACTGCATTGATATCTTTCCGTTAGAAAGAACCATAATTAATTTGTTATATTAATTTATAATGGATTAAATATTGAGTTCTTCAAAATATTGCCGTTAATATTCCAAAATGACTCGAGATTAAATGTTGACGTCACATCAGTAGGCAAACAACAACCTGCCCCTAATTTACTAGTGTACAAAATTTTATTTTAAGAGCCGTTTTCTTTATAATGCCATAAAACGTAGAGGAAAAAAAAATTAAATAAAATGAATTTTTAGTGTTATCCCCAACTCTACCGATGCCAGAAAATGATAGTGCAACCATGTTTTGTGGTGCAACCTGTCTTGCTACGATCTTGGGTCATGATGCGAGATTACGTGAATGAACCACATCTAAAAATGTTTCGTTGCTTGAGGCATTTGCTTTTACGTCTTCGAAGGTATTTTACGTTTTGTGGTATTTTTAGTGACATTGTGATGTCATGCAGAAACTTGTTTCTTGTTTCCACAGGATAACGTTTCGCAGTATTAAATCGTGGATTTCTGGGCTAAGCAGAATTTACCGAAATCTGCTTCAGCCTAGAGTATTAATATACCGCCCCCGTGAGATAAACTTTCTAGATAATCTTTGTGTTTGAAATGATGATGAATTCTAGAGATATAAATATATGCATTAATTGATACCATCATGCGTGAACATTACAATTTAAATATCTCAATAAATATTCGACTTAATCGAGACTGAATATCAGAAAAAAAATGATTTTTAAATATTTATATTTAAATAAGTCAGATGTAATATTTTAATATCTAAAAAAAAAGTATGGATCACGTTTTTAATATATATTCACAATTACATAATACAAATTTTTTGTTATCATTTTCGAAATTCAAGTACTTAGCGGTAGCAACAAATATGAAGTTGGTTTGTGAAAAATGTGGATAATGTAATATGGAGAAATAAATCAAAATATTAATAAATGTAGTTCTTTATTATTGTTAAATGCTACCAAAATGATCTACATTTAAAAGTTCAATATTCATTAAAAATAGAAACTGTGATGTATTTGAAATGGTGTATGAACAATATTAATTTTTACTTAGTCATTTGTCACAACAGCTAAAAACTTATTGTGCTGTAATGGCTAAACCATAACATAACTTAGGTTACTAGTAAGACACGTTACAAACTTTCCAAAAAATGAGAAATATCCTTATATCTACTTTACAACATCAAAATATGAAAAATTATACTTAGTACACACAAATATTCTATAAAAATACACGTTAGTTATTGGGCTTACCGAAGGAAAGTTTTTAACGGTGTAAAATTATAAATATTATATACATTAATATATTAATGAGACCACAAATGTTACTCTTCAAAACTGAATTAAACTATTTGTTAATAAACAAAATTCTTATCATGAATAATCATTTCTATTGCACTACCAATAACTAAACTAGAAATAAATATTTTAACTCGCTCGGTAAGGCATTTCTAATATAAAACTAAAACCTACCCTAAAAGCAATCTGTTCAGGTAAAGTCATTAACGTTGGCAGTTAACTAGTACAGAATATTTATTTATTTCAACATTAAAGAGGTATTTGGAAACTGCTGACACAAGTTTAAAATATGTAACTATATTTAACATGGTTCTGAGGATTATACATCGGTTCTTAGTTGCCAAACGGATGGTTTATTCTTTATTTACTATTAAAGTTCCAGGGCCGTATATAATCGGTATGACCTTTGAACACTTCTTTCCTTTGGTAAAATCATGTTATTAACATAACTGAAATTTTTAGTTTAATGTTATCATAAGTATTTCATGTGATGGATAAGTGTAATTCATCAGTTTTTTTCAATTACACATACACAGGTTATCTGCAAACAATTTGAACTTCAAATACGTTCCATTTTGAATAGACATCACTTAACTGTCTTCCTGAAACTCATGTCAAGAAACTATAGATTTAATTTAAAATCCAGTCCAGCATATGTAAAAATATTCTGTAGACAATAAAATGGAACTTTCCCAACTTGCAATTCGAGGCACATATTATTGCATATTCCACTTTTGACGACAAAATAAATTAAAGTTGTTAAGAGATGTTGGTGACATTTTACATTAGCCATTCGTAAAATAGTGTAGCCACTCGTTTTCCATTTGCTGCAAATAATACACTAATTCTTGTGGCAAATTGTTAAACAGCCAAAAAATAGAATACTGTAAAAATATTTCAACATTTACATGTGTACTACTGCGAATGTTATACATATATGCAATAAAATTATAAACATAATTTTACTTTGACTGTTTAACAACTTTTTAATATCTGAATAGATAATTGTCATTTGAAAATTGCATAGAAAGATTATAAAAAAATTAGTAGAAAACATGTTGTAAGACATCTTTATTTGTTTAATTAACCCTTTTGCTTGATTTAAATAAAACATTAATTCCAAAGTTAAAACTAATGGTTCCATAAAAAACTGATTGTTAATAACATACAATATTTGTTATACATCTCTTTTTATCGGAATTGTGTAATTGCATTAAAAAATTTAAAGGATTTAAATATGTAAATATTTATGGTAGAATCGTTCCTGCTTTTCACTTCGTTAAACATGCTGCGTAATACTTTTAGTTAACACTTCATTTTACATTGTTGATGTTCATCTAGAATATTGGATTTTACGTGAACATATTCTATTTTATTTTTTTTTATTTTCTAGAAGCAGTTTTAGGATATTTCTTAATATATCTTGTTAATTTCTATCTTATTTAAATGTTCAGATTTGTTATTAAGTATATAATTTTGAACAAAATTATATGTTATAGACATCAATATATTAATTTTTACAGGAGCTGCAATTAAATTACGGTACAACCTATAAACGACAGACAAATTGTCTTATAATTTTAATTACATTAGAAATTTTACATGATCTTTAAAATATATCACATAGTAATCCTGTAATACAACAAATTAAAAAAATATAATAGATATAAGGTAAAATACAATAAATTAAAAGTAAGAAAAATGAACTGTCATAAATGTATATAATAAATACAAACTAGTGGCATCCTCTGTATCCGGAGTATAAGTACAAATATTTTGTATTATAGAAAAACTCTGTAAATGATATGATTCTTTTAAAGGTAATGTTCCAACAATCTGTCATAAGACACCATAATAAATAAATTCTGAATTTAAAATTTTGTATATATACTCTTAGACACCAGATATGTCCATTATTCATAATTGCAATAAAGATATATATATCACAATGTTTTTTACGAGTTAAGTGCTGTTTCAAGCAAATGAATATATTGGAAATTAGAACAGTTTTATGTGGGTATTATCTCAATATTTTTTTGTCTAGTTATTCAACGTTGTACAGAATTAGGTAAATATAGTGTATTATAAAAAAAATATATTGAAATCAGGCGGACCCTGTATTGTTAGATATCTACTGTAACATTAAAATTGTTCTAACACCAATAAAACAGTTTACCATAACAGTTAGGTAAATATTTTCCTTTATGCCATTTTTTTGTTTTTAATATCATAGTTTTGGATTTCTGACTTAAAACTTCTACAAAATGTTAAAATCACCAATAGGAGAGCATTAATCATTAAAAATCTATAAACAGCTTTTATGGAAAAACAATCCTGTGTTAATAAACACCCTGTACATAGATTGTATAATGTGTTCCCCTAAAGGAATAATGTTTGTATAAACTAATGAACATAATGTTAATGAGTCCTGGGACAGATTGGCCAACAAAATAAACTATGAAAATGCAAAACAAATATGATTATATAAATAACATTTTAAGCACATCACATATAATTCTAAACGGAAAATTTCACCTATGTAGGAGGAAGTCAGATTGAGCGAGCTTTTATTGGCAGACAGCCTGCGTTATAACTCCATGTCCTCTGCTTCGTTTTCTGAAAAATCTGACATACTCGATTCACTATCTGAACTAACATTTTCTTGGCCCCGCAATGCTTCCTCTGTGGCATATTTTCTTACATATTCTACAAATATACTCTTTAATAACAAGGTGAAGCCTATACTTTTACAGATGCACTAATAAAAAAATTAATTGACAATTTCATAGGTATAACTCATATCCCCAATATTATTTTTTCCTCTACTGAACATGAAAAATATATAAAAATTAAGACATTTTTATAATTAAAAAACTTACCAGATACTTTTTTCTTATATTCTTCAGGTTTATGTAAATACATGGCTGCTGCATCTCCGTTAAGAGGGTCAATTGGATTTGGATAAGTTAATAATTGTGGAAGAAAAGATTCAAATATATTTGACAAATCTAAAAACAAAGCACATCATCTATTGCTACTTCAGTTAATAGTGTAATTTCTGTCGATATAAAAAGTATAATAAGCAATATTATATATATACATATATTAACTATTTAACTTTGGGCAGTTATATGCAACACAAACATACGCAGCCTCAAAAATGATTACAAGCCACGTGACCAATATTTTGTTTGGAGCAATAATTTTATTTCTTTCACATTGGCAATTACATTTCGATAAAATTAAAAATTATTAAAACAATAAGATCAAGATTACGTCAAAGCACAACATTCTGTTTCACCGGCTGGTGATTGGTGTAATTTTTCACGAGAATCAATTCAACCAATCAGCGATCTCATTATCTCAAGCATAGACGCAACGGAGATCACGTGGCTTGTAAATATTTATGAAGGCACTGTATTTAGCGGCTGATGCTAATTATCTTTTCATCAGTAACAATAATGAAACACAAATTAGTCTGAATCATAGACGTAGTCAATGGAGGGCAAGGTGGGGGCCCCGGGTCCCCCAAAATCTTACAAAAATTGAAAAAGTAAATATTTATTTTTATTAATTATACGAATCTATGGAAATAAAGTTAAATGCATAAGGTACATAACTACAAACCTTAGTTTGGATAAATATGACTGACCCAAAACAATTTATCAGTTTGCGGATGGGAAATGGGAATCGAAACAAAGAATATATAAAAATCGAAAGTATTTATGCAGTGCATTCTCGAAAAACATTTCATATTTCACTGAAAATTTACAGGTAATGTCAGGTAAAATGAAAAGTGTAGGTGGGTAATTTCTATATTCTTCATTGGTAATATTAGTCATGTAAAATTAAATAATAAACTTTCTTGACCACATCCTGTACTGTATCGTCCATTGGTTACAATAAACCCATTTAATAATAAGATAACAATAAAGCCACATCACATATTTTTTAAGAAATATATATGCCAAATGGCTAAGCATGTAGGTTCAACCAGATAGTAATCATCTCGTTAATAAGATTTTAAAATAATTAATACTCATTCTGTGTATAAATAAGATCACAAATCTTGAAATTATTTAAAGAACAAAGGAATTATTTTTAGTAAATCCTTTACTTGGAAGTATTTATGAAAAGTTATTTTTAATGGACAGAAAAATTAATTTGCCCCTTTCCTCCTGAAATTTCTTAACTAAAAAGTAAAATACAACGTTGCCTTTGTTATAAAGTTATTAACTTAGCCGAGGCAATTAACTATGTATTGATATTCATATTGATTTATACAGGAGAATTTAATATCATATGAAACGAAACATTATATTGGTGTTGAAATTACGTTACAATCTTCATTTTATAAAATATTTTATGATAAACCAATGGTGCAAATTCTACTTACCATATAATGCTGTCCAGGCTTGATTAATAACATCCAAACATACAGTACCAGAAACCTCATCTATATTTGGATGGTACACACGGTTCATAAATCCTATACTAGGTGATTTGAATGGATAATGCTCTGGTAAATGGACACGGACCTTCCAAACTCCTCCTTCATAAGGAGCTAGTAAACAATGCCATAAATAATACATTCGCATAAAGAAATATTTAACAACTTACTTCCTCTGGGCCCATAAAATTTAACACAAAATTCATTTAATCCACCTAAAATTGTCACTTCGTGTTTACTTTCAATACTGTAACGGCAGTTAAGAAAAATTTAACATATTGTTGACAATCAGCTGTGACTATAATGAATAAAAATAGAACAGTTATTTTAATGAAATTTCACCATTTATTGCCAGTAGTATAATTAACAAATTTATAATTGGAAAAGCCAAAGTTAACAATACCTCAGTACTACAATCAGCTGATGTAAAGATAGATTGTTGTTGTTTACATTATTATTCTAAGAACACAAAGGATACAGCTTAATAACATCAGTGTCCATACGTCTTTTCCCAGCACTTGGCGATGACATTTTTTAGATTGTCATAAAACTATTACCATGAATTTATTACTACTAGTCCTAAAATATTTTTGTAAATACGTAATCACCTCCCAAACACAATGGCCGTGTCTAAAATCGAGCAAATATCCAACCAATCCACAATCCAACCGTTTACGTTTACCAACAAACCTGTCACTCCTGTCAGCTCCAGTTCCAATCTTACACGCAACGCAATTGCTACCACTTCTGCCATCTTATAAGAATGCACAAACTATTCGACTGCCAGTAAAGCTTTATTTAAGTATTCCTAATAGTTTTTGCACTAAGTCAATAGATGGCATTATATATTTGGCTAAGGTAAAGTAACTAATGTAGTGGTTAGGTTGGGGATGGACTGGGGTAAAGGGTTAAAGTCCCTAAATATCAAGAACAACGTACATTCATGACTCGTCAACACTACTTACACTACCATGTATGTTTGGTTGCATAACCATAAACCAATTTTAATTAACTCCGGTATGAGATAATTCATATTAAAATTATTGTTGAGAACATTCAAGCATACAGTAATAAGAAAACATTGTGAGAATTTACTTTGGTAGTAAAAAGTATTATACCTATATCTAATTATAAAATTCGTCGGAAATGTGCCAAAATTTATAAAATATATGAAATTTTGTCACACTTACAAATACTGGACACTTTAAAAGTTTAAAACACAGAATCTTAACCATATATCTTTATTAAATCGCTTAAAATAAAATACAATCCATGTACATGATGTTTTGTATGTTATGACTCCAAAAAGTTGTTAGGTACTTGGGTCAAGACGTTTTGTTCTAAAGTCAACGAACTTTCTGAAATTATGTCGTGAACTTAGAAAAACACCCTGTATAACTAAATTAACTCTGATATTTGTAATTTTATCTAAAAATAAATGCTATAATATTTAATTCTATAAATTATTTTCACAATGTATATTGTTTGTAATCATGGAGGCAATTCATGAAATTATATTCCACGGTAGAAGGGCCATCTAAAAAAAATATAATACTACTTACTTAATAATTTTTATATATTCGGCTTACCAAAGGGATACCATTTTGGTTTAGTGCTATCAAATTCGTTTCTAACAGAAGCTATAGCTTGCCTAATTGCTAGGGGAATTGACACAGCTAAACAAAGAGGGGGTTCACCAGTAGCTAAAATATATCAGAAGATATTACAATGATTTTGTTGCGGATGTGACGTAACAATATACCTTTTGTTTTCAAAATTCCAAGTGGGTTAGGATTGTCATTTGGAAATTTTACACGAAAGTCAATAGGAATATCTTTTGCTCCAGGAGGCTTATAAGTCCATGTTCTATTGGTTAAAATTTCTCCATTTTCACCAACAATTACATGTTCTGTTGTATAATACCCCAGACCCATTACAAAAGCACCCTCTACTTGTCCTATATCTATTTCAGGACTTATGCTGTCGCCCACATCTTCCAATAAATCAACTCTAGACACATGATGTTGGCCAGTTAACACATCTAGTTCTATTTCAGTAGAGCATACACCGTATATTTCATAGGCATTTATTGCGGGATCCTTTGGTGAATACCTACAACACTAAAATTAAGCAGAAAAAGTATAATTGTAAAACAGCTTTTACATTGATGAAGTAGAGAGATTTATTAATTCTTTATAGCATTCTTTCACTAATTCTTCCCAAGTTGGGTCGTTCATCTTATCTCTAATTGGTTTCATCCTTTCTAGAAGTATGTCACATGCCTGAATGACCCCCTAGAATTGGAAGTTTTGTGTACGTTTCTAATAAATGAATTTTAAATTACCCAACAAACAGCTTCACTGGTGAGACTACCTCCAGTTGGAGAGGAATTGGGTGCATTTAAATTATTACTTGGTTTAACTGAAATTTTATTAACGGGGACACCCAGTTTGTACGCGCATACTTGTATTACCTAAAAAAATGTAAATTCTGCTGGTATTTTAACTTTTTTATTAGTAAAATCGTACTTTTGTATTTATGCCCTGTCCAATTTCAATTCCGCCGTGAGATATGCTAACACTTCCGTCACAATGATATACTGAAACAATAACACCGTAAGTAAAAGGAAACAAAATAAAAGGGAAAACCATAGGAACAACAGCTAATCCTTTCTTTCTCCATCGGTTGCTCTAAAAGAAATATTTAGTTAGGTACACATTTCTTATCAACATATTTTTACGGAAATTACCATATTGAATTCAGTTATATCTGATTTTCGTTTATCTATATCTGCCCACCTTTTCAATTCTTCTATGTGTTTTAATAATTTTTCGTGATTCTTTGTCATATTAGTAAGTCTAAATTGCAACGGGTCCATGTCTATTTCTAAAGCTGTATGCTCCATTATCGCTTCAATCATACCGAAACCCTCTGCAGAACCTAAATAATCATTTATCATAAACAACCAAAAATAAATAATTTTCAATACTCAAAAGTAATTTAAAAGAAAGTGTCATTCCAAGTTCTGATAACGGAAACGGGGTTTTCTCCACTTTTTATTTTTTCACCTAAATAAATAAAAAAAAATGGCATTGTTTTAGTAATTTAAAAAAAGTACCTGGTGCTCGCGTGTAGCAACTAGCATGCATATCCGTGTTTACTATGTTAGCGTTCGTGTACCAAGTCTCTGTGTTATATAAACCAAAATAAGTATCATATAACAAGTACATTACAGGTTCGTTCGAACCACATCCGTGATCATAGTAAAATGTATTATGGAGATATTGAATAACGCCATTTTCATCGGTGGCAACCTCGTAATCACTAGTTAGTGGGTATCTTTTTCCTATAACGCTCATATTTGTTTCTAGTGGCATCCAGATTTTCACTGGCTTCTTGAGTTTATACGCTGCCACTGCCGCAGCTGTCGACACTAGAGAGTTACGAACAATTTTTGCGCCGAAAGCACCACCAAGTCGTTTAACTTTCACGTTGATCCTGAAACTAGACCTTTACAGTATCTAAGTTATATTTTTTTATCATCCCCACCTATTTGATGGGATATTTAAGGCAACAGATGCTGCCACTTGAGCTAAATCCATCCACTGTGTTCCAGGATACATATCAAGTCCATCTTCCACTGGAACTACACTGCAACATTGTGTTTCCATGTGGAAGTGGTACTGCCAAGACAAAGCAAAGGAGCCTTTGATTACGTGTTTTATATTTGTACCTAAAACATCTCGATTTTAATATATAGAGTATCATAAAATAAATCGAGTACCCGTTCTCTTTGGGTTAATAATTTTATCCTGATTAATTTTAGTTGAAAGATTTCGTTTTAATATGTCGCCTAGAGTTATAACTGGTTTTTCATTTCCATCCTTGTACCTCACATCAACTAAATTTGCTGCTTTTTCTGCAATCTCTTGCGATTTCGCTACAATAATTCCGACTGGTTGCGAGTGATACTTAACGATTCCCGTACAAAATAATTCTTCTTCCATTGGCAACCCAGATTCGCTGGGTGTGAATGTATTTTTTCCAGGAATATCGTTCTTGTCTAAAAATGCTATAACACCTTCCATTTCCTATTAAAAAAATAACAATTACATGATCCCCAATGTCCGTTTTACTATTTTACCAATGCTTTGTCGGTGATTATATCCACAATAACTGAGTTTGGAGACGCTTTAGCCAAAACGAAAGCTGCATGCGTTTGATTTGGCAAATCAGGCATATCCGTTATGTATTCAGCTTCACCTTTAAATAAAAAAAAAATAAGTATAACGTAAAAACAATTTAGTACGCTTTACCAGTTGTCTGAGCCACAGCCTCAATTTTGGGCATGGATTGTGACAGAGGATATACAGTTTTATCCGTACCAAAATCTTGAGAACCGGACGAAACTGGTCTAATTAATTCTTCGCCACCACTTCTATGCCTTTCTGACACAAATTTGCTTGGCGCTATACTCAAAATGTACTAAAAAAAATTATCAGTAATACTTAAGTTCAAAGCATAGGTAGTAAAGAAAAACGTATTTACTTTATAAAACAATGATATTGCTAATTTTTTCCGGAACGTCGGTTGTGGATCAGCTGGTGCGTAATCAGGTTTTAGTTCATCATTTAGCACTTGAAAAGCAGCTTGTAGTATATTGTTGTTGAATATACTTTTGGAGACTAAATATTTTTCGGTGTTTACAGCGTGTGTGTAAGTTTTATTGATGCAACCATATACAATTCTAGCATCTTCTACTATTAATTTGTCATTAATTTTCAGTAAAAATCCTGCATTTACCAGGGCATGGGCATTCTGGGCTCTAGGCATAATCTGTATTTGTAGATAGAATTTATAAAGTTATATAATAAAAAACGTATAAAATTCTAAACCTTACCTTGTAACTTTCATAGTAATAATGATCGTTTAAAGCAGGCAATACGATTTTTTTTAATACTTTGTCGGACATATTTATTAACAAAAATTCCTGTAATGTGGTGTCGTATACTTTATTATTTATATCAACTGAAATTCACGTAAATGAATATAAACTAATTTTAATTTCGATATCTACCTGCACATTAAACAAGTCACTTACCTACTTGCAAATGGGCCCCAATTGTTTCCAAAAATAAAAATACATCTGATGGAAAGTTGTTGTATTGATGCTTTAACATTAAATTCCCTGCTAATGTTCCTGTCTAAATCAAATTATGCAGTTGCACTTTTTTAAACAAAAAATATATATATATTTACATTTCTCACGGGCACATTAGCTATCAAATCGATGTGGTGAGATAATTTGCTCAAATATCGGAATTTGCTATTCTCCTTGGAAAGCTTATCGAACAAATTCATTGCATTTGTAAGGCTTATATTAGCTCCAATTATTAATTTATTGTTAATTTCGTGGTTAAGAAGGTCCTGAACATCTAATATGTCTACATAGACGTCAAATTCCTTTTCTGTTCTGTACACGCCTGAAAGTTAAGAAGATTGAACAAAATTAGTTTTAGTCGCATATTAATTAAACGCTTGCCTTTGCCAGTATTCCCGGCAACCAACATATAAGAGGTCTTGCTGCCATGAAATGACTTCATAACTTGTATTAATTCTCCGAATTCTATAACTTTGATCCATGACTGTTTGTCAAGTTTAAAATAAAAGGCAGAGTTTATTTTAAAGCAACATTTTTTAGTGCATACATTTGTGCAGACGTTTGCGTCTTCGATATCCGGATATCTTTCGAATAAATCATCACTCGCATCCTTACACAGAGTTTTAAATGCCGATAAAATAGGCCTGTAACCAGTACATCTACAGATGTTACCCCCGAAAGAGTTTTCAACTTGTTTCATAGTCACATCTTCAGTGGATTTTTGCAAAGCAAACATGTTCATCACCATGCCTGGAGTACAATATCCGCACTGAGTACCATTGTGTCTCTTTAAGACGTCTTGGATTTTGTGTTTGGAAGATGAATTTCCAATCCCTTCAACAGTGAAGACGTCCCAACCAAAACATGAAAAAACTGATACCAAACACTGGAACACTATCGGTGAATATTTGGGACACCCTGTATATCTATTATACTTACTGAATTTATACAGAAAGTTTCAAGTTTTCCTGTGACTGGGTTAATTCTATCAACCGAAACGATACAGGCACCACAGCCTCCTTCTAAGCACATGCGTTTAGTACCAGTTAAATGTAAATAATCTCGCAAAAATGTATTTAAATTAGTTTGAGGAGACACTTCTGATGCATTCACTAAAATATTATTGTTATAAATACTTACAAGCTAGTATAAATACAAAATAAATACCTGCACATTTTCTTCCGTTCACAAAAATGATTATTTCTTGAAGTCTGAAAGTAGTAAACATATTATTTGAATATGAAAACGGTAATCTACTTACAAATCCATCGATGCCGGTATCTGTGCGTTTGATTTGCTGTATTATAAGAAAATTATTTATAGAACAATGTATAGCTATGAAATCCTTGGAAACCCTGAAAACAATATAATTGTGCGACTCATTTGCAAGCATTTAAATGATCAAATACACAATAATAACTAAATTATAGACAGAACCGTATTTAACCAAATTATTATATTATTCAAAACCTAATATAGCTTCTATTAAAATGTGTTTGATGCAATACATAATTACATATTTTTTCTTTAACTCAGTGATAATACTGAGTAAATTTATCCAACTGTTGTCAACAGCTGTTAGCTGCTTATATACAAAATATATCTGACTAAAACAGAGTCCGCTTCTGTCTAATAATAAATACCTAGCCATAAAACTGGTTGTCCTAATTATATTAGGTATTATATATTGCCTTGAGATGAATTTGATTTTAAGTGTTTATTTTCAAATAACTAGCTTATTAGGTATCTTAACATTTTTAATAAAACAAATTTCAAATTGTTCTCGAATTTTTAGTTCACATGATACGATCCAATTTTAATAATGAAAATTAAGAAAAATAATTTTTTGAACTCAAATTTTTGCCATATTTTTTCCGAAAAACAACATAATGCATACTTAGGTAAGTAAGTCGTCAATTTAATTTCGTTCATGGTAGCCAGCCTTAAAGTATGGCTTATCCATTTTTGGACACCCTGTTTATTACGGAGGAAACGCTGGTTGACTTTCGTATAATGAATTGTGATTTTTATTTCAAACAAGGTGCGTTTTCATAATATATTTGGTATGCAAAATATTTTTTTACCAACCTCAAAAAAGTTATGTCACAAAATGTCGTACCTATGTAGGAATTCTAACAGATGATAAAAATCTAATAACACTGGCAGATTTAGCAGCCTCAAAAATATACGTGCATCAAATTCCTGTATCTCAAAAGCAGAAGACGATATGAAAAAAATATTTTATTCTTTATATTCTATCGACTTGAATTATCGTGTTTTTTTCCAAACCACTACGTAGCTACATATTAAATATACAAATTATATTAATACCTAATTAATATTATTTGTTTCGTTAATCGCTGTTATAACACCTACCCCTTAAATAAATTCTTATTATTACTCTTTATTTATTTATTTATTCTTTCTGGGCTATCTTTTGTCAGCCGCTCTTTTTGAATAGGAACATACCACAAAATCGAAAAATGTCGATTATAACCGATTCGGGTCAATGTTGTTTGTCCAGTCTTTGTCTGTCGCTCATTGGCCATTGGTAGTAGACTGTTGTTTTTATCTCTTGTTGTGGTAGGCCGTGTAGTGAAAGATTTTCTAAAGTTGGTGTGTGCTCGGCTTGTTTAAAAATATTCGTCGTAAAGTGGAAATTTCGTATTATTTTCACGTCCTGTTGTGTTGAAACGTTAAATAACACCGTTAGTGTTATACAGAAACAAAAGTCGGAAGTGTATCTTTAACAGAAAAAGTAAAAACCAAGAAATTAGGACAACCCACGCCGACTTCCGTAGATACCAAGGATATGGTGATTTGAAGATTAAAAATGTTTAGGTTTTAACAAAAGAAACTCGACGTTTAAATGTAATTGTCATCAGCTGTCATAACCTATTACAAAATGTACGTATACACCGCCTCATCTATATGTTTAGAAAATACCGCGAAAGTGTTTATGTATTATTAAATTTTCGTATCGAACTGCCAATAAATACAAGTCTTTGAGTTTCTTAACGTGATGATCTTAAACATAACCTCACCAACGATTTGATGGACTTCAATAACGTGAAATATTATATCAATTTTGTAATCGATTCCGCAAAGTACTCGTCTCTTCTAATATCAAACTTGGTTACAGAAAATATGTCCTACACAAACGTTTATTTTTCTATTAAAAAAGTCATCTTAATACACTGCATATTTAAACAGTTATATTTCTTTGTCAAATTAATGATTTAACATAACATAACCTATATCTTTAAGAACAATTCTTATATATCTACCAAAACCCAAATAACCGTTTTTTAACATGCGAATCTTCATTTCTTCTGATAGTCGACTGAGTATAATCGTAAATCAATGATCATCTTTAGTAATAAACATAGATTTCTCTATAATGCTTGGACTAATAGTCTTGAGTATACTACTACAAGATGCTAAACAAAATAACTGTGTTTTAAAAAGTTTAATATAATATTTTTGTTTCAGTGTTCCGTAGATGCAGCGTAATAGGACATCCACAATGGTTTAGTGATGAAACAGTGTTAGTGATAGTGACGTTAAGTAATCGGTTATGTTGATTACCGTGATCAACTTAGTGACTAAATTCGTTGATATCCGTTGATTGGTGAGTTGAGCCAGGAACGAGTGCCTACCTCTAGAAATGTTCGATAATTTACGATGAGGAACCAATTTTGAAAACTCACCAATTTTGCGTTTCGCGAGTGTTTGTGCCAGGATTCTTCGAGGGAGTTAGACACGTTGGTTGAAGTTCAATGGTAAGCTTTCTTTTTGCATTATATTATGAATTTGTGGAGTGTTAAATTTCGAAATCTTTATAACTCCATTGTTTGTGTGTGTTTAATTCCTAGAAAACGACTTCAATAAGCATTTTTATAATTCATCTTATGAATAGGTAATCCTTTTTTTTCTTATTTGCCTGAATAACTTTGTAACTGCAAATGCTAAAAGCTAAATCGAACTTTTTTTCTTATGCATGAATGCTATTCAATTTTGGCATATAATCGATTCTCCCAATTTTTCTAAATTGAAAAACTGTTATTTTGATTAAAAAAAATATTGTGGTAATAGTAGGTACCTATGGAACCATTTGCAAGAAAATCCAATAGGGAGTAAAGAGTATTTTGGAAATGGTACCATAAATTCAGTATCTGACTATATAAAATAAAATGAGTAATCGGAGTTATGTTGATTGCCGCGTGATCAACTTAGTGATTAAATTCTTTGATATCCGTTGATTGGTTGATCTCTAGAAATATTCGGTAATTTACAGCGTTTCGCGAGTGATTGTGCCAGGATATGGTCGGGATTCTTCGAGGGAGTTGGACACGTTGGTTGAAGTTTAATGTAAGTTTTCTTTTTGCATTATATTGTGAATTTCTGGAGTGTAAAATTTCGAAATCTTTGTAATTCCATTGTTTATGTTTAATTTCTAGAAAACGAGTTCAATTTATTCATTTTTATAATTCATCTTATGAATACTCCTGTTTCTTTATTGTTTGCATGAATAACTTTGTAACTGCAAATATTAAAAGCTAAATCGAGCTTTAAATGTTCAGGTATTACATAAATTAAATTTCTAATTTCTAAATTGAAAAACTATTATTTTGATTAAATAATATATTGTGATAATAGTATCGAGCTATTTGCAAAAAAATTCAATATAGTATAATGGGTATTTTGGAAAAGGTACCATAAATTCAGGATCTGACAATATAGAAAAATAAGGGGATATTTACCTGTGGACTTTTGTTTTTGAGATACAAGGCGTCAAAGATGTTTTTTTTTAAATCAAATTTTAGTCATATCTCCACCAAAAAAAAAAAAAAAAATGGTGTATTTGTTTCCGGGCACTTTGAATATTAAGGAATAAAAACTGGATTGGGACAGTCAATTGCGTTTTTAATAAGAGTATCTTTTTTATGTAGAATAAAATTTTCAATTGTGACGTACCTATAACATAACTGTAAAAAATCTTAAATAAGTTATTTCATATAATGTCACTAGAAAAGGTCGTAGTTAGCGACCTCCCGCAGATGGTCAAAAACTAATAACACCGCTGTATTTATCAATCCCAAAAACTTACCTGAACAAATTTCTTTTGCATTATATTGATTTCTGGAAAAGATATGGCCAAATTTGATTTACAAAAAATAATTTTTGACGCCCTGTATGTCAAACACTAAAGACGATGGGACTGTGTTCATAAGAAAAAATATACATATTTTTTTATGTTCAAGGGCTGATACCCTTGAATTTATGGTACTTTTTTCCAGAACGCCCTATATATAGCCTTAATTCAATTAGATCGGAGGTTTAAAAAGAATTTATAAATATTTATTTTTTTGTTATTACCTAACATTAATTTGTTAATTCGAATATGTAAGGTATAGACAATTAAAATAGGTAATTATTTGTATTGGATGGTTGAGATGATTGCGAATAATTAGAGTGTGCATTGAATAAAGTTATACGTCTAAATGATTTTTTTAATAAATGAACTCAGCAAATGATGTAACAAAGCATATTTCCTATTAAATATGAAACGATTTCAATGCAAAATAAAAAAAAACGCATTTTCTGCAAGATTTGGTCCGAATGGCATTAACTATGTGCGAGACTAAACCAACCATTGTTAATTTAATTGTTTCCGTTATTGCGCATCGGGTATTCGTGAAAAGGGGGTGGAAACTTCAGGGCTTCTCAATATGTTTAACAAATCGTTCATTTCGCGTTGGGGCGCTTTATGCAGCGGTGTGTTGAGAACTCCTGTAACAAACTTGTGACGTTTTCTAACAACATAATGGTGTCTTTTCAACGTTTCAGCTCTAAAAGGACCACACCATTTCCTATATCCGGCTCCGGTCTTTCGTTATTTACATTATCTGCTAGATTCCAAATTGGAACGTTTCAAAAACAATATTCCTTAAATACTGTTGCAATCACGCACCGTTATCTGTACTTCTACTATTAACGCACCTTCCAATTAATAAAAAGAAAAAGAATTTTGTAGGAGTACACGGAATTACGTTTAGGATATTTTATGTTTTAATTAATAATCACTAATTAGGCTGCAAAGCTACTCAAATCTCAGGAATTTTATATTTACACAGTTTAAGTTGTCTCTTCCTTTCGGTGCTATACCTATTTATTTATATAAATCATACTTGCAATTTTGACTTTTAACTCAAAAAATTCCTTGTACCGAAGTAAAAATTAGCGAATTAGCAGCAAGTGGTTGTGTAAATTACATGACGTTTCTATTGTGTGACATAAATAAGCCGTTTTAAAACACTTAAAATATTAATAAAATATAGGTAGCTC